ATTGTATGATTCTACTTATATGAAGTACCCAACGTAGTCAAATTCATAGACACAGAAAGTAGAACAGTTGTTGCTATGGCCTGGGAGGAGGGGATGGGCAGTTAGCATTTAATGGGTATAGAGTTTCATTTTGGGAAAATAAAAAAGTTCTGGAGATGGATGCTGGAGACTGGCGCACAACAATATGAATATACTTAATGACCCTGAACTGTACACTTAAAAATGGCTAAAATGGCATATTTTAAGTTATATACATTTTACTACCAAAAAAAGGTAACATATGAAAACAATCTAATGGGTTTTGTGAGAATCACATGAGAGCCAGGTAGAAAAGCCTTGTAATCTATATAGCCCTCGGCAAATGTTATCTCTTCTTAGTCATTATCACTCCATTGTCCCCAATCTGATATCATTATCCACATGCTTTACCCAGCCACACTTACCCAATAGCACACTGTATGAGTCTGAGTGCTATCTGGTGAATATCCATCTTCATTTTGCTAAACCCTGCATGCCATGTGCTAGCCAACAATATCCTATTGTTCTAATTCTTAAACAAGACAAAAACTCAAAGACTTCCTTCTCGTACCCAGTTTTTCCCAATGATTGGCTTGGAAGCAGTCCTCATTCAGTAATAAAAGGTTACTATGCCATGGCCAAGGATACGGCAAATCTTCCTCCAATTCAGTTGAATGCCCTGGCCTTCTACCAAACGACATATCTCACAACACATCCTTTGAACAGGTGAGCAACTCGGAACCTTCTTTGAAGGAATGGGATTCTGGGAAAAAAATAAAATAAATATACACAGTATGCACTGAGAATAAAATTAATTAGCTAAGAAATAAAGAATGAAAATGCTAAAACATGACCAGCTTTGATGGACTAGACAACTCTCTGTAGAGTAGCCTCAGGGCTGAACCCTCAAATATTCCCAGAAAGTAGAGACATTTCTGTAGAACCAGCCTGATAATGCAGCAGTGCAGAACTTAAGAATGACATTTTGGCCGGGTGCGGTGGCTCAAGCCTGTAATCCCAGCACTTTGGGAGGTCGAGGCGGGTGGATCACGAGGTCAAGAGATCGAGACCATCCCGGTCAACATGGTGAAACCCTGTCTCTACTAAAAATACAAAACATTAGCTGGGCATGGTGGCACGTGCCTGTAATCCCAGCTACTCAGAAGACTGAGGCAGGAGAATTGCCTGAACCCAGGAGGCGGAGGTTGCGGTGAGCCGAGATCGCGCCATTGCACTCCAGCCTGGGTAACAAGAGCGAAACTCCGTCTCAAAAAAAAAAAAAAAGAATGACATTTCTTTCTAGAAAGCAGACCAACTGATATCTTCATCCTGATATTGATCAGGATCTGTGTCAGCATTCAGGTGCTCTCTAGTTACAAGTTTCCTTAGCTCTTGTAGGCGCTGCTAATTGAGGATTTCTCCACACAGGTAATACTATCAGTCTCATCTGACACCGTTTTCATGCAATGACAACTATCTAGAAGTTGCTGCCTTTCCAGATAACCCCTGTGACACCAATGAGGGATTTTATTCCGTGACTCTTTGAAGAGGTTTAAACATGGATCAAACATGAAGTAGTATCTACCCCAGTCTTAGAAATTGAACCTTCTATGCCTGGAATAAAGAACCCAAGTCTCTGTGCCCTCACAGTCTTGAATATCTTTGCTTGTTTCACTTATGTTTACCTCACTCAAGATTCTTAGTGTCATCGACAAGACTGGATAAGAACTCAGGACTTTCTACAAAGTTTTCTGCCAGTGCTCCACAAATCATGACTATGGTCTCACAAATTCTTTGATTCTCCACTAGGTACCCTTTCTCTTCCATTCAAAGCCCCAAATAACATTTATGCTATATATTTAGTCCCGTTTTTTGTAGAAATGCTTCTTTGCTTGTGTTCCCCCTATGTTTTCATACCATACTTATATCGTTAACTGAGGCTCAGTCTTAACACCAACAACAGCATGAAACATCCCACCTTCTATCTTCATTTTGCTATTAACTGGAGGCAAAAGGAATGCTGCCACTCAGGCAGTGTTTCGATGAAGGGAAAGACTCTCACAGACAGGCACCAAGGCAAGAGTCATTAGCACAGAGTCTATAAGTGAAATCTAAAGACAAAAAAGCAAGCACCTGGGATACATCCCTTGCACATACCTCCTCTTTTATAACCAGTAGCGTGAAGTTGGTTGCTGAAGTCATAGAACCAATAGTATATTTTCCACAGATGGCTGATGATAGCAGAACATGCCCTGGCTAAGTCCCCCACCCTTTTTCTTGAGTAGCTCATTGTTATGAGCCACGGACCCAGGAACACCAGGTCACATGTTCTATACTCTTTCCCAAAAACAGTGACAAAATATGCTGAGCCATCCATATTTCCTCAGTTATATTGAGGCAGGAGACATAACAATTAAGCAGTCTGTGGAGCTGGAGAAACCTCGGCTCAAACCATGTCTTAGCCACTTGTTGTGGGACCTAAGGAAAGTTACTGAAACTTCTTTAGACATGTTTATCAATAAAACGGGTAGAGTCGACTGGCTCCAAGATTCCTTGACCCTTTGATGTATTTGTCCTGCCTAATTCCTAAGACTGTGATTATAATGGATTTTACTCTCATAATTAGGTTGTTACATAGCACAGTTGACTTTAATACAGGCAAATTATCTGATGGGCCTTGCCTAAGCACAAGAGCCTTTAAAAGCAGAGTTCTCCCCAGCTGGTCAAAAGAGAGGAAGTCAGAGATTCAAAGCAAAAGAAGGCTTCAAAGTGCCATCACTGGCTCTGAGATGTGGAAACACACATGTAAGGACCAAAAAGAAGCCCCTAGGAGCTAAGAGCCAGCTAAGAAACAAGGACCTACGACCACAAAGAACCAAATTCTGCCAACAAGAAAAATGAGCTTGGATAACATTAGGAGAAATACCTAGTTAGATAACGGGGGGATGGATGTTAGCAAACCACCATGGCACGTGTATACATATGTAACAAACCTGGATGATCTGCACATGTATCCCATAACTTAAAGTACAATTTAAAAAAAAGAAGAAGAAGAAGAAAGATGAGTTTGCAATAAGAACCCAATACCTTGATTTCAGCCTCGTGAGAGCGTAAGCAAAGAACCCACTCGTGTCCACCCAAACTTCTGACTTACACAACTGTGAGCTAATAAATGAGTATTGTTGTAAGCCACTAAGTTTGTGGAAATTTGTTACACAGCAATAGAAAACTAATACAATGAGGACAGAGCAAGTGCTTAATAAATATTAGCTTTTATTATTACTAACTCATTGGGATCAGCTACACAGTTGTAAGAAGGCTAAAGTACAAACTATTTATGCAAGGCTGGCAGTGCAACATAGCCTTCAGATCCAGGGTCCATTTGGTCTAATATGGCTGATATTAAATGTTTCTCAAAGAGAGAGACATTATTGGCATTCAATGGGGGGAGGGGTTCATTGTGCAGAACCGCCCCGGACATGGCGGTCCATTTATCATCTCTGGCTCCTCTTCCCGTAGTAATAGTCATTCCAACAACTGAAAATGGCCCTGTACATTTCCAAACATGCTCCTCTGTAAGGGTTGAGAACTACTGTAAGGGAAATTTCGTAAGAAAGCATCGGTGCCGCCGAGCGCGGTGGCTCATGCCTGTAATCCCAGCACTTTGGGACGCCGAGGCGGGCGGATCAAGAGGTCAAGAGATAGAGATCATCCTGGACAACATGGTGAAACCCCGTCTCTACTAAAATACACACACACACACACACACACACACACACACACACACAAATTAGCTGGTCGGGGTGGGGCGCGCCTGTAGTGCCAGCTACTCGGGAGGCTGAGGCAGGAGAATTGCTTGAACCCGGGAGGCGGAGGTTGCAGTGAGCCGAGATCGCGCCACTGCACTCCAGCCTGGCGCCTCGCGACAAAGCAAGACTCTGTCTCAAAAAAAAAAAAAAAAAAAAAGTAAGGAGCCAAGAGCGCCACCTTTTAGGGACTTGTCTGAAAAGGGAAGACGGTAAAATAACCACGGAATTGGAGGCACGGAAGTTTTTTTAATTCCACATGTATTAAAAGTATACGAAATAGGATAAATAGAAAAAATTAAGAAATGCTACTTTACACCATGGAGCATATCACTTCAAGAAGTAAGTCTGGTAAGGATGGAAAGTTTCAGAAGAGTATTCCCATTTCTATGACTGTGGAGTCCCACTTGCAATCACAGTGGCGCTCTTGGCTCCTTCCTTTGCCCCTCCTCTAACTCTGTCTTCCTTAGGTGACCTCTTGCTTTCCTCCAACCTCGGCAGGGTCTGCCTTTTCGGGTTGATACAATGACCTGTCCTGCATGCCATATCCCAGGAGCGCGGGCACCAAAGTGTGGAAAAACAGATCAGTGATGTTTTCTGTTCTGTTTCCAATACTCTGCCTGCCAGAATCCCCCGCCGCACCGCCCCACCACGAACCACATGGAGCCCACAGGCTACCCGAGAACAGACAAAGGTCTGTATCTCTCCCATTTCTTCAGCTATGTTTCTCTCGGTTGGCATGCCCTTTCCTCATCTCACTCCAGACACGCACAGCTTTAGCAAATAATATGCACACTTCTGGGACGGGCCCAAGCATTTCCCTCCCCTGATAGGGCGGAACTAAAAGGCAAGCGCCACAGTCGTCAGCAAAGGACTTCCCTGTTACCATGGTAAAGCCGCTGCTGCCATCTTTACTGTGGTTGACGAGTACTTGCAGCAACCTAAGAGAAAATAACAAGGAAGTCTGCAGGCTGAAAGCCTTCAAATTAGCCTGGACTCAGCTGAATTTGGCTCAAAACGAAGTTATCTCAGGGGTGGGGGTTTACTCCTTCGGTGGACGCAACACTCGCCAGCAGCTAATAGAATGTCGTTAGGGGATGGACTCTGAGTCCGTTACGCCCAGGCACTTCCGGCTCACGCGCCGTACGGAAAGCGTGGTCAGCGCTGGGCTTCTGCTCCGTACGGAAGTGTGCTTTGATGCACCGGAAGCCGACTCAAGAGAGCTATGGCGGGTTTGACTGTGAGAGACCCAGCGGTGGATCGTTCTCTACGTTCTGTGTTCGGTGAGAGGAATTCGTTGCAGCCAAGCAACAGGGAGGGACGCGCCTCTGCACCTCCCATCTCACGAATCGCTACAGTAGCCGCTGGTGGTTCGGGCGTGCAGTTCTCCCTGCCTATCCTGTAGGGCGTCCAACCTGGTGGACTCGTGGGCAAAGAGATGTTCCCATTCTACCGAGGTCTCGTAGCCTTTCCGCAGTATCACTGGGGAAGTTATAGACTAGCGTTCAGCTTCTGTGCGTTTCTCCTTTCATGAGCTTTAATTAAAAGCTTTAATTAAAAGCTTCTCTCTAGAAGAGAAGGTGCATGGCAACAGCTCCTCACTGTCCCGTACTACTTACCACCTTCTGTCCCAGAATACAGACTATATGCCCAGGGTATAGATCCTAGTGTTCACTTCCTGCCCTCTCCTAAGTACTTTCATACTTTGTATCTGTAACATATTAGTTCATCAGTAGTGGTAGCGGCCACCTGGTGTCCTGAGATGGATTGTAAGTGAATGAATGAATGAACTATTAAGACCTCCTCAGAGGAATTTTAAAAAGGATTGAAACTATTCTGAGTTATCTTTTTGTCTGAAATAAGTTGTTATATATTTATTTTTTTTTTAATGTGATTGTTTTAAAGAACCTTTTGAAAGGGGCATGACAAAGTGATTTAGAATAATTTTTAAACATCCTCCACTGCATTCATGGTCATTCTCCCTTAAATGTTATATGTGTGGAAATACATATGAACCTGTTTTTAAAATTATATTAAATAACATTGTTATATTTTGTAGTCACTGATGAGACTTGCAGACTTTAGGTAAATACCAGTGCCTAAGTATTTATTTTCACCAAAGTTAAGGAAAATCTAACACTTGTCAGATCAGTCTGAGAACTAACATTTAAGAATATCTACACATTTTGTATTTAGTCTCAGCGGTGTATTTCCTTTGTTAAGAGGTCTGAAGAAATACAATGGAAGTGGAATTGGAGAACATTATTTTGAGCCAGTTGTTACATATTTGATGATATAAGTAGACAGATACTCTGTTTACTTTCTCACTAAAGATTTAGGTTGTAAACTCAGAATTTATTGTTACTTATTTTCTTAGTGGGGAACGTAAACTCAGAATTTATTGTTACTTATTTTCTTCCTTAGTGGGGAACATTCCTTATGAAGCTACTGAAGAGCAGTTGAAGGACATCTTTTCTGAGGTTGGCCCTGTTGTTAGTTTCAGGTGAGATGTCTTTTTACTTCATGGTGAGAGCTTCTTAAAAATCACCACCAATTTGGCTAGTGGTAATAATGGCAGGTTTTCTTTACTGGTGACTTTTCACATACATTGTATTCTTGTAACAGCTTTATTGAGGTATAATATATATATACTATACAATTGACATTTACTGTTACCTAAAATGTTTTTATCATTAAAAATGTTTCTTAAAATACTTCCGTGAGGCAGTCAGAGCTATAAGGTTATTTATGTTGCAGTGGGCCTAATTAAAGCATGGCAGTGTTAGCAGGAACCCTGTATGTGTGTAACATTTGTTGCTGATACTTGGTTCTGCTCTCCAGATTGGTATATGATAGAGAGACAGGAAAGCCAAAGGGTTATGGCTTCTGTGAATACCAAGACCAAGAGACAGCACTTAGTGCCATGCGGAACCTGAATGGGCGAGAATTCAGTGGGAGAGCACTTCGAGTAGATAATGCTGCCAGTGAAAAGAACAAAGAGGAGCTGAAGAGTAAGTACAAATCCAACTTGTATGCAGTATGAGTTAGTAAAGATGTAACAATTAAGATTTTCCAGTTCTGATAAGTTTTAGAATATGCTGAAATGGTTAGCCACACAGCTTGTTTATTACTTGACTGACATGATGTGCCTGAGTTAGGTAAGTATTACATATATCTTTTTAAAAATATTTTATAAATTCTTTTTTTAAGCAATTCTCTGAAATTTCTATACCCTTGCTCTGGATGGAGCAGGGCAAGGCCTCAAACCATTTCAAAACTGCTCTGGCAAGCACTGTAGGAATGCATAGGGTCACTGCAGACCCAAGCATGCTGGAGTCTTGCTAGTAAGTGTGTCTTTAAGAAACAGGTAAAGTTGACATTAGAAATAATTCAGTTGCTCCAGCCTGGGCAGCAGAGCAAGACTCTGTCACAGAAAAAAAGAAAACGAATTTTTCCGTTGCTAAGGAGTTGATTTCCAGTTAAAGATGAATTCCAATTTATTAAGCCATTAGTAGTACTAACTATGGCATTAGTCATTTCTGTCACTATGTTTCCAGGAATTTTTGAAGTTAGCATGTTTTTCTGTTTTAACCTTTTGTTTCTGTAATGACTTGTCCAAAGAAGTCAGTGTGCCCAGTTCTCTAACTTAGGTTAACATTATCCATCCATGTGATCATGATCCCCAGCTTTCCTCTGAGAACAGAAAATACACTCTCATTTTCCTCCCCAGAAACAAGAGGCTTTCAAATCATTTATTTCTCAGCTCTGGAGAATCTAAAATTATCAGCTGGTTCTTACAGGAGCCCGGAAAATTAGATACTTGAAATGATTTAGCTTTTTGTTTTGCATCCCTAACTTTCTTGTACTTTCTTCTTGATTAGGCCTTGGCACTGGTGCCCCTGTCATTGAGTCACCTTATGGAGAGACCATCAGTCCTGAGGATGCCCCTGAGTCCATTAGCAAAGCAGTTGCCAGCCTTCCACCAGAGCAGATGTTTGAGCTGATGAAACAAATGAAGGTGGGAGGAGGCATTAGGTTATGAATAAAGCAAATCACATCAGGTTTTCAAGGAGTTAATTGATTAGTTCCCTGAGCTCAAATAGAAATTGTCTGTAGACCACCATTTCTTGCACCTTCAATATTCTATATGTACACAATATATTTGACATTTTGTACAAAGAGCTTTCTATTTTTGTACAGAGACACAGCTATCCAAACAATCCAGCTGGGTTTTGTGGCCCATAGATGTCAGATGTAGATATTAAAATTTGGCCTTTTTCCTAAATGACCGTAACACAGTATTTGAAATGCCTCTTTCTTCTCTTGCCTGCCATGACCAAGGTTTTTTTTTTCTCTTTTTTTGTGCCATGCAAAAACTGATGATAAAGAGCCTCTTGAATATTACGTTTCTCAGAGGGGAATGGCTGTAAATCACTATCAGTTTCTAAGTCATATGTATTAAACCTGAATCTGCTTATTTTCTCAGCTCTGTGTCCAGAATAGTCCCCAGGAGGCACGGAACATGTTGCTTCAGAACCCTCAACTGGCTTATGCTTTGCTGCAAGCACAGGTAGTGATGAGAATTGTGGATCCGGAAATTGCCCTGGTGAGTGCTTCTGGTTCTTTTATGGAAATGGTAGGGTAAACCTTGAGTGGGATAGGAACTACCTGATTGCTTTGTTAAACAGACAGCTCCTAGGTTTGTCTTTTCACTTTTTAGAAAATTCTGCATCGCCAGACAAATATCCCAACGCTGATTGCAGGCAACCCTCAGCCAGTCCATGGTGCTGGGCCTGGCTCAGGATCCAATGTGTCAATGAACCAGCAGAATCCTCAGGCCCCTCAGGCCCAGTCTTTGGTAGGTCTTTATCCCTTAACATTTTTTTTTTTTAACAGTCTTAGAATGTCATTTTCTTTTTAGGAGAATATATTGAAAGAAGAATGGTCAGGAACCAGAGATGATAATTTCAATTTCCAGGCATAAAAGCAATTTCCAGGTTGCAGAGCACATGGCATCTGAATGAATATAGATTCGATTCCAACTTTGTAAAACAAAGAGATCCTTCCTGTATGCCCTTTTCTTATAAGCTAACTTTGTGTGTATGTGCATGCCTGGCACTGTGGTTGCTACTTTGTTATTCCATACACATTATCTCATTTAATCCTCAAAGCAACTGTATGAGGTTGGCACTCTTATTATCTCCATTCTTACCAATGAAAAAAGTAAAGCTTGCTTTCAAAGCATGACACAAAACCCTAAAGCCACAGCAAATTGATACATTTGAAAACTAAAAAAATTCCATGTAAAGAAAAAGAAATAAATATCAAAGACATGACAAATTGGGAAAAAGTGTTTGCCACACATGTGAGGACAACAGATTAATAAAGAGCCCATAGTCATGCACAGGAATGTTTATTGCCATATTGTAGTGAAAAATTGGAAATGTCCTAAATGTACATCAATGGAAGAATGGAGAGAATGTGTGGTGCATTCATCCAGTGAAATACTCTACAACAATTAAATAAACTACACGTATCAACATGAATGACTTTGAAAAACAAAATTCCACACAGTAGTTAAGATGAACTAGGATACATGACATCAACACAAATAACTGCAAAACAGTACCATATGGATGTGAAACTAAGTGAATGTGGACACATTCCCAAAATGTAGGATACATATATCTGCATAAATCCCCAAAATATGTTGAGTGAGTTGCAAAAGAATATATTGAGTATGTAATGATTCATTTTAAAACATTAAAAAGAGTCTTAGTGGTCAGCTAAGGAGAAGAGAGCATGGGATGCAGTTGGGAAAGACCATACAGGAGATTGGTTGATTTTATTATTTATTTCCTAAGCTGGGTGGCTATTTTCTATATGATTTGTTTATCTGTAATTTTTCATAAACTTTAAAAGGCCTCCTATAAATTAGTAAGAAAATTACCAATAACCCAGTAGAAAAATTGGAAATGGACATAAATAGTTCACAAAAGTAGAAATGTAAATATATGAAAATGTATTAAACCTCAAAATAAGATATAATAAATTATCATTAATATATATAATGTTACAAAATAAGATAATGTAAATAGAAACTACAATAAGCTACCATTTTTCATCTCTCAGATTGGCAGAGATACAGGGTAGCAGCCAGCAAACATTTTTCTGTAGGTCAGATGGTAAATATTTTTGGCTTTGCAGGCCACGGGATCTGCCACAGCTACTCTGCCATGCTAATATGAAATCAGCCATAGGCAATATGTAAACAAGTATGTGTGGTCGTGTTGCAATACAAGTTTATTTATAAAATCAGGCGATGAGCCTGATTTGGCCCATGAGCCATAGTTTGCCAACCCCTGCTCTAAATAAATAAATACATTTTCAGAGATAAAAAAAAAAAAAACAAGGCCCAGAGAGGTTAGCTGGTCCAAAACTTGACACAATTATCAGTGGCAAATCTAGTTCTGAGCCTGGTATTATCTGACCTCATAGCCAGTTTGCTCTTAACTGCCTTCCTATACGGCTCTTCCATTTCTTTTGTAGAATTTTGTGTTCCTTAAACGTGTATGCAATTTTTTTTATATAACTTGGCTTTTATTCTTTATTTATTGAGCTCTTTCTATTTCAAGGGACTACTCAGTTTTTTGGGGAATGCACAGATGAAAAGATGACATTCTCTTTCCCTCAAAGAGTTTTAATGTAGCATTAAAAAAAAAAATTTACATTCCCCCAAAACCAGAATTATATCTAAGGACAGGAATGAGAAAACATTGGTTAAATTTTTTTAAAAAATAATTTTTAAAATGTGGACTACCAGCAGTTGTTTTTTTTGTTTGTTTGTTTGTTTGTTTTTTAGGAGTCCCAGGCTCCATTTTTCTTTCTTGGCTTTAGGACATTTTTTTTTTTTTTAACTGTTATTGCCAGGCCCCAATCATGAAGTTAACAATAGGTGCTATGTGCTGTCTTGCCACACAGATAAGACTTGTCAATCTTTACATTGAGAATATGTTCCATCTTAACCGTGTTCTATATAACCAGGTTCATGATGTGTATTGCAGCTTGCTTCTGTGGAGTTAAAAGTGTGTGACAAATCTAATGCTGCATAAGACATGCTATACAAAAATGATGTTTGGTAGTATATTTGGGGCTATTCATTTGAAGAGGACTTTTAAGGTCATAAGACAGTATGTTGAGTATCCACAGAGGCATGTACATACTCTGTTTTTTTTCTTGGTCAGGGTGGAATGCATGTCAATGGCGCACCTCCTCTGATGCAAGCTTCTATACAGGGTGGAGTTCCAGCACCAGGGCAATTACCAGCATCTGTCACAGGACCTGGCCCTGGTTCCTTAGCTCCTGGAGGTAAGTTTCATTTAGTCTTCACCATTTCAGTACTTGCTAAAGTTTTGTCATAGCCACTGTTTCAGTACAGCCAGATACGATAATTGGATCCTTAAGTAAAATTAATACCCAGCTAGAAAGCATATATCCTAGGTGGAGGAAATAGAGTTCTTATGTTAAATCCTATATGTCTAATTATAAGAAGAGAGAGAGGGACAATAAAGTGAAAGAACATAGTAAAACTTCCAAGTTAATGAGGGGGAAAATGGAATGAGTGGAAACTAAATCAAGCCAGCAAAAATAGAGAAAAGGAAAAAAGGAAGGGACAGTATAAAATAAGTAATAAGAAGTGTAGAATAAGATGGAAGGAATAAAAACTAATGTTGTTATTCTGCTAAATATGAATGAACTATTAGATTAAGTTCAAAAGCTCATGAAGAAAACAGACAAAAAAATACAAGGTCACATGTGTTATATCATGTTAAACTGACATAAAATTGTATTTTAACAAACATAATTAGACCAAACAACAAAAGGGAAAAAAGAGAAATTTAAAAGCTATATACATTTATTAAAAGTGTATAGATAGGCAATTAATAAGAGTATTGCTCATATACTTATTCCTTGTTCAACAGTTGTAACTAAGAAGATTGAGTGAAATAATGATCCCCCATATGAAACATCTGTATAAACCCATAATGTATTATCAATATTTAAAGTTTTCTTATGCAACAAACTTGCTTCTTATTAATTTATCTATTCTAGGGTAGATTAGATTACTCAGGATTTTTGTGTATCTATTTTATAATAGAGTTACACTTAGATTGAAATTATCTTTCTTTTTTTTTTTTTTTTTTTTTTTTTTTTTTTTTTGAGATGGAGTTTCGCTCTTGTTGCCCAGGCTGGAGTGCAGTGGCGTGATCTCAGCTCACCGCAACCTCCGCCTCCCAGGTTCAAGCAATTCTCCTGCCTCAACCTCCCGAGTAGCTGGGATTACAGGCATGCGCCACCACGCACGGTTAATTTTGTAGTTTCTAGATTAGCACTTCATTTTGCTAATGGACAAACAAGTAAGAACACTGAGAAATTAAATAATAGGATCAATAAACTTCACTTAATATATAGAGGGAACCTTATGTCTTTCGGCTAGAGAATGTACTCCCCACCTTCACTAACCAAGGAACAGTTTTAAAAAAAAATTTACAGTACTTAGCCATAAAATTAACAAATTCAAAGATAGGAAGATTTTACAGAGCATATTCTTTGTTTATAAGCCAATAAGATTAGAAATAAATAATTAAAAGCCGACTGAAAAAAAAACTTTACTTGTAAAATTAAGGAACATACTCTAATCCTTGAATTAAAGAGGAAATAAAAAGAAATATATAACTTAAAGGACAAAATGCATGTATATTTCATACAGAAAAAGTATGGGAAACAGTGAAGGCAGTGCTTAAAGGAAAATGAATATCCTTAAATGCCTATATTAAAAAATAAAGGAACTAAGTACTAGTTGTAAAGAATTTTAAAAAGACAATAAACCAGAGGATACCAAGAAGAGGGAATTAATAAAAGTTGAAAGTAAGCATAAAGGAAATTCAAATAATTAAAATTTCAAGTGATATTTTTGTGAGTTTATAGCATGTATACTTCGGAAGTTATTAAAACTTAAAACCTCACTAAGATTTTTTAGTTAAAATGCTCTTTGAGGCTGAGCACAGTGGCTCATGCCTGTAATCCAAGCACTTTGGGTGGTTGAAGCAGGAGGATCACTTAAGCCCAGGAGTTAGAGACCAGCCTGGGCAGCATAGTGAGACCTCGTTTCTGGGGGAAAAAAAATGCTCTGACAGTGAAGAAAAGAGGGGAAAGAAAGAACCTAGTAGAAAAATGGGCAAAGAAAAATGAGTAGGCATTTCATAGAAGAACACATCCAAATTGCCAACAAAAACAAAGCCATTTACAGTCTGGGTTGCAAATTAAATAACAGTGAGACTTTACTTAAATCTATCAGACTAGCAAAAGTTTCAAAGAGAGACGACACTTAATGTTGGTAGAAAAAATGATACTCATATATGGCTGGTGGACATGTAGAGTTTTTCAGTCTTTTAAGAAAGTAATCTAACATTAAAAATTCATATACATTTTGACCAGAGAATTCCACTCTGGGAATCTAGCTCATATAAATAAAAATGCCATTATGTAATAATGTATAATATTAGAAAGTATGCCCACGTGCCTTTGGCCATTTCTTTCCTTGAATCCTAAATTTTTGTATTGTTTTGGTGATTTATCTAGATAGAGTGAATAGAATGTTAAGTCTAGAAGAGAGCTTTGAAATCATTTAGACCAAGCTTTCATTTGCATGAATGTTCATGAGACAATTCGACTAATGGTTCTCAAACTTTGGTATGTGTTAGAATCATCTGAAGGGCTTATAAAACAAAGACTGCTGGTCCCCGCCCCCAGATTCTAATTCAGTAGGTTAAGGTGGGGCCCCAATAATTTGTAATTCTAACAAATTCCCTGATGGTGCTGAGGCTGCTAGTTCAGACAACTCATTTTCTTTACAGATGAGGAAGCCTGGGAATGTATTGATTTTATCAAATCATTTATTAAGAATTAAAATTACTTAGTAGTAAGGTTAGGGCTAGCACTCAGTGCTTTGGCTTCTTAATACATAGCTCTTTGGTAGTTGGCATATTAAATGGAATAGGGGAATGTGATATGTACTTGCTCTTGGAGGGAAGTATTAATGAACAGATAATAGATCAGCTTGTCTTTTCTCCCCACTCACACCATATATTGCTTCTTTGAGGAAAAGAGAATTACAGCTCTATGGAAAGGACCAGACAAGGACTTGTGGTGCATGATTATTCCTTGTATAGCAGTTATCATTTCCCAGCTCGTTAGACCAGTGGTTCTCAGCCCCATTAGACACAGTGACCCCTTTTCATAACAAATATTTTGCAATGACTCTGCTTTGCTGAAATGAAATGCACAAAGGATATAACCTATGTAACATGATTTTAAAAAATCAGTATGGTGTCCTAATTATAAAGAAGTAAAAGGACATTAATTTGTAATACAAAAATTTAATAAGCAAGTGATTAGGCACCACTACACCAGAAAACAAATTTAATAGTCAGATGTTTATACCTATTTCATGAATGTAAAAACTGAAAATGCAAAACAAATACAGGCATATTGTTTTGGCAACTCAGATACCACAAGGACTTTTGACATCAGCTATGTGATGTTCTGAAATGGTAAAATCTCACGTTAAAGTTATTAAACTGCAGTACTCATAATTTACTCAGTAATTGCATTTCTGGAAAATCCAGATAAACAGTACAAGGAACCTTTGTGTTTACAAATACAACAGACTTAGGTTCTGAGTTCAGAAGACTGTAAGTTAGTTCTCATTTGTGTGAATGTTCATGAGACATTTGAAAGTTCAGGACACAGGGTAATTCTTGATTTTGTGGAACTTACACGTTGCAGAACATCTAGTATCCCTGGCACTTTCTCATTCAAAACTAGCCATGGCCCTACAAATCTTGTCACAACCAAAACAGTATACCCACACAACTACAAAATATTCTAGAAATGGTACTGCCTCCCATGAGAGGAGGTCCATGGGTAAGTGACATTGTTTTCCTGTATTATAGAAGAGCTTCCTGCCAAGAGTTTGGTAACCAATGAGATTAATTATTCTTACTGAACTCACTATTCTGTCACTGAAACATAAAGTATACGTTGTAAATATACTAACACACCCCGTCTTCTATCTCATTGCATTGTTGACTATCTTCCTTTGTAGGTTTCTGCTTGTGGAGCAGAATGAAGAAATTTGTAAACTCAGCCATTGTTCTAATTGGTGTTTTTTCTTGTCTACCCTTTTTCTTCTAGGAGGAATGCAGGCTCAGGTTGGAATGCCAGGAACTGGACCAGTGTCCATGGAACGGGGACAAGGTAAATAAATATTAACGTCTGACTAATGTGAATTGGTCTTGGAAATGTTCCACATCCAAGTGTCTAATACGGCAGCCACTAACCACCCATGGCTATTTCAATATTAGGTTAACTAAAATTAAGTAAAATTTAAAACTTAGTTCCTCAGTCACAATAGCCACATTCCAAGTACTCAATGGCCCCATGTGACCAGTGGATACCACACAGGACATTGCAAATACAGAACATTTCTATCATGGTAAAAAGATCTCTTGGACAGTGCTGGTCTAGACTTTCCACCTGGTGATTCAGAACCCAGCTCTACAAGAATTGATAATGAAGCAAGTGGATCCCTTGTTTCCTGACAGTCTAATAATTCCACTGACATGTTCTCTCTCCCTGTATGGATATCTGTTGACTGAGTAAGGAATTTTAATAATGATCATGTAACTGTGTGGCTGAGTATGTAGAAGACTAGATTTAAACCCTAGAGAAAACTAGAGGGGATCATAGGTCTGTAAAGCCTACTTTATAAACATCTGTTGTGCTATGGCTATACTGCTGTCTATAACAGTAGTTGCCGCTCCAAAATCTCCACGGTATTTCTTCATGTTACGGGAATTTGAAGGACAAGAAAGTGTAGCAGTTCAGTTGGAAACAATGTTAGGAGGAGAGATGGTGAGAAGAGAGAAGGAACTGAGTGCATACTCTGTGCCAAGCACTTTAATTTTCGTAGATAATCTTGTGAGTTAGGTGGCAGCACCTTAGTTTTACAGGCAAAAAGTTGGAAGCTAAGAATAAGTTATTTACTCAAGGGGACAGGGAAAGTAAATATTAACGTCTGAGTGATTGGACTGGATTTGATGCTCTTATTTTCTCTTTCAACTAGTAAGTGGCAGAGCTAAGATTCAGAAGTCTTTGGGTCCAAAATCTATCCTCTTTCTGTCACTCCACACTGCCTCTGTTAACTTCCAAATATATTATTCAGTGTCTTCTACTCTTTTTCCTGGGGAATAAGATGATGGGAAAGACTGCTTTGGACAAGCCTAGAAAAGCTTAAGGTTTTTTCTTCTGTGGCATATGGCCTATAAGTAGAACCCATTTGAAAAGCAAAATATTGGCCAGGCACAGTGGCTCATGCCTGTGGGAGGCCAAGGTGGGTGGATCGCTTGAGCTCAGAGGTTTGAGGTCAGCCTGGGCAAGGTGGCAAAACCCCATCTCTATAAAAAATACAAAAACTAGATGGGCAATGGTGGTATGTACTTGTGGTCCCACCTACTTGGGAGGCTAAAGTGGAAGGATCAATTGAACCCAACAGGTTGAGGCTGCAGTGAGACATAATCATACCACTGCTCTCTAGCCTGGGTGACAGAGCAAGACCCTGTCTCAAAAAAATACAAACACACAGACACACACACACACACACACAGACACGCACATTAATATACAAGCCTGTGGTTTGTACAGTGGGCTTGGTTGCTGAAGTAACAGAATTTTTTCTTTTAGATGTCTGACAGCAGGACAAACTCCCTGGCCAAATATCTCATATTTTCTCTAAGCATCCCATGCTTTTGTGCTATTGTATGTCCCCCATCCCCACCCCACCACTGTCAGTAGATCATGTATGTTCTCCAGAGTTTTTACAGTAATGAGAAGGTATTAGGGTTTCAGTCATACTTCTACCTGTCATAGGCCCAGCACTTAATCCGTCAGGTTTTAGCTGTTTAATGCATACTTGCACAAGACATATTCCTTCCTGTTATAGTAATCTTCACCTTTTTACAAAGGGAAATGACTCATGTTTTGAGGGTATTTCCAGGATGTCTTCATGAAGAGACAAAGTAAGATGAGCTTCCTTTTACAGTTTCCTTTAGTACCCAGCAGAGGAAGCAAGAATCTTTTCATGTGTGCCTAGTTTGTCTTACTTTTCCTGGAATCCATGCTGCTTTGCACATTTGTAATGGTGAAAGGAGACAAAGATGTTTCCGAAGATACTTCTTGCTACCCCACCATGTTTGTTTAGTGTTGGTGCTCATGTCATCTCATTAGTCTTTGCTGTTGTCATGATGTTTATCATCAAAGTCTTGCTGTGACAGTATTTCTTGTGGAGTGATACCTCTTTGATCATGTAAAGTTCGTTCATGACATTTCCCCATCTGATACTTTTGTGACAGCAGAAATTGTTGTGCTTTAAAACGTAGCAAAAATAGAATTGCTGTACTTCACTTATGGCCACTTCAGAATGAATCTTGCCTTCCAGAGACAGTGTAGTTTCTTTCATGTTTGTCTTCTGAAACTATGTTTATGTTCTTTGCATAACTAGAAGATTCAAAACTGTCCTTTATATATATATATATATATATATATTTTTTTTTTTTTCCTCTAATGCTATCATAAGGAGACCTAAGGGAAAACATAGTAGCAGAGGGGAAAATGGAAATGTCTGCTTATTCCTGCCTAGATCAAACCAGTGCCCCATGGGATTCCCTTTCAGAAGCTATTTGGTCAAAATGGAACTGTTTCAGAGACCCAAGGGAGCTAGTGTAGTTTAAGGAGATTTTGTAGCCTGGAGCAAGCCAATGAACTCTTGGCTTTTTAACTTATATATGTAAATCTGAGTCTCTGTGTGTATGTGTTTCAGCATGTGTGTGCAAGCTATTTTAAGTGTCTGTTCTTTCTCCTTTTGAACTTAATGCTTACCTAGGAACCCTACAGCACTCGCCCGTGGGACCCGCCGGGCCTGCATCAATTGAGCGAGTTCAAGGTACCCATTGTATCTGTGGGTTTCCTTTTGCTTGTGGTGTTCAGGGTGGGACGCTGAGAGGAAAAGAGCTGCTTGGCAGTCATCCTCGCGTTCAGAACCCAAAAGGGTAGTGTTTTTGGGTTTTTGTTTTTTAATTTTTTTTCTGTCGAGGCCACAAGCCTAAGATTGACCTCTTCACACAGGGCAGAGAACATGGATGATATGGGCATCTGTCCGAGGCTGTACTCCCTCCCTACTGGTGTCAGGAGGCCTGGATGGAATAGCAGTCTGTAAGGAGACAGCGGGTTCTTGCAGAGCCATGGCAGTGTTCACATATGCCAAGACTCTACCTCTCTTTTGTGACTCTGGTCCTTGAACTAAGATTGATTAGAAGGAAAACCAGGAGCATAAGTTTCTTCAGGTCGCAGTGCTAGTCCTTGGCAGGTTGCTCCCCAGTTGGCTCTTTATATAATTCCATCCATACCTCTGACATGGCACAGATTCTGCCTACACCCTGCTTCTGTTCTTGAGCTGCAAGAGGATTCTGCTGTGGTGAGGTTTCACCCACTCTAAGGTGTCTGAATTATGTTGTCAGTGGTATATAGAGTCATTTCTTGTTTTCTTATGTGTCATTCACAGCAGTAACTCCCTGTTTGTTTCCCTGTCAGTGCCGATGCAAGACCCCAGAGCAGCTATGCAGCGGGGATCCTTGCCTGCCAACGTCCCAACGCCTCGAGGCTTGTTAGGAGATGCTCCAAATGATCCACGGGGAGGCACTTTACTTTCTGTAACTGGAGAGGTAGAGCCTAGGTAAGCACTAACATAGAAGGAAACAGTTGAAGAAATTAGAATTGTCCCTCCTTCCCTGAGAACAGTCTTTCTGTACCAGTTGTACCTGTTTGCCTACTTCAGAAGGTAGGTAAATATTCGTGGCCACTGTCCAAGGCTAAGCACTTCTCCTGAGGCAGAACTATGTAGTTGAGTATGTCATTTCGAGCTACTGTATTTTCAGAAATTAGAAATTTTAGTATACATACTTGAACAGGGAAATTTGTAGTAGTGGAAATATTAATAATAGCAGTAATAGGCCGAGTGTGGTGGCTCATGCCTGTAATCCCAGTACTTGGGGAGGCCAAGGCGGGTGGATCACCTGAGGTCAGGAGTTCGAGACCTGCCTGGTCAATGTGGCAAAATCCCGTCTCTACTAAAAATAGAAAAATCAGCCAGGTGTGCTGGTGCACTCCTGTAATTCCAGCTACTCAGGAGGCTGAGGCAGGAGAACCACTTGAATAGGCGGAGGTGGCAGTAAGCTGAGATCATGCCATTGCACTCCAGCCTGGGCGACAAGAGTGAAACTCTTTCTCAAAAATAAATAAATAAATATAATAGCAATCATAATAATTGACATTAATGGGGAATCACGCCTCTGACTCTGCTCTCAGTACTTTACTTACCATCTTATTAAATCTTTAAGACCCTGTGAAATGGATACCATTATTAATCCCATTTTACAGATGAAACTGATGTCTGGAAAGTTAAATATGTCCAATATTACACAGCTAATAAGTGATAGAACCGAGATTTGAACCCATACCGTCTGAATCCAGAGCTCATATTCTTATGCATTGTACTGCAAACTCATACATATAATGAATATTCATTGATTCTTCCCTAATTATGAACCAAATACGAAATTCTAGAATACGTAGATTTATCTCTCTGTAGCTTTTCTTCCATCTGTTTGGTGTTATTTTCTTGTTAGTATTCATAGACTGTTTACATCAGTTCTTTGTTGGATGTTTACTTACTGATCTTCTGGTTGATACTTTGTTGTTTTTCTTGTTCTATTTTAAAATACAATGTTTTTCTCCATCTCCAGAGGTTACTTGGGACCACCTCATCAGGGTCCACCCATGCACCATGTTCCTGGCCATGAGAGCCGAGGACCACCCCCACATGAGCTGAGGGCAGGGCCATTACCTGAGCCCAGACCTCTAATGGCAGAACCAAGAGGACCCATGCTAGATCAGAGGGGTCCACCCTTGGATGGCAGAGGTAAGCAGAGACCACATTGCAAATGTGATAATGAACCCCGCTGTCTTACACTCTAATCTGGGATAAAGAATACTGGAGCAGTAGGTTTGCAAGCATCTTTAAGGTTTATCCACAAATCTGAGAAACCTGGGAAGAGATAATAGTCTCATATATTAATAGCTGAGGGGGCAAATGTGACTAGATTTCTATCTTTCTTGGATTGATCATCATTCTTGCAGTACGTGCAAGTAGCTACACAATGGTTTTCTTATAATTTTCCTTTAGGTGGAAGGGATCCCCGAGGAATAGATGCGCGAGGGATGGAAGCCCGAGCCATGGAGGCAAGAGGGTTAGATGCCAGAGGATTGGAGGCCCGTGCAATGGAGGCCCGTGCAATGGAAGCTCGTGCGATGGAGGCCCGAGCGATGGAGGCCCGTGCGATGGAAGTCCGAGGGATGGAGGCCAGAGGCATGGATACCAGAGGCCCAGTGCCTGGCCCTAGAGGACCTATACCTAGTGGAATGCAGGGTCCCAGTCCAATTAACATGGGGGCGGTTGTCCCCCAGGGATCCAGACAGGTATGTGTAACACTGACTTCTGGCATCCAAGTGAAATCTTGATCTATTCAGGAATTGATTATTGAGCCTGATTATTACTGCCTTCTGACTTGGGCTGTTTCTCAGCTTGTAATAGAGGGAAGACTCGGATCTCCCTGTAGCTTCTCTGTCCCTTACAGTGGTGATTTTCTAGCTATCAGGATTGTAGTTCAAAAAAAAAAAAACAACTTTATCCCACAATAAGTAGCTATTCATTCAGAGAAGAGCCCCTGAAAATTTAGGGGTTAGAAAGTAGTCTTCATTAGGGGTACAAACCAACATCATGTACATAGCTTTTTTCAAAATGTACTTGCCCAGATCTCATCCCAGGTATAACTCAGATCAGTAGGATCTGAGCATGGATAGTTTTAAAAACCTTCCCCAAACGATTCTAATGTGAACCCTGACTTGGAGTCACTGGGTTAGATTATATGAAGAGCTGTTAGTGGCCATTTAGATAATCTTAGGTTTGCAGAGACCTGTGTTAATTTACTGTCATCACATAGCCTAAGTCAACAGTGGAATATGAAAGGCAATTTATTAATGATTACCTTAAAAGGTGTGGAATTGAAGTCTTGTCTCCTCTTTTATTTGGCTCTCTCTGCCTGTGTGTATATGCTGGTCTGTGATTGTTATCACCTCCCTCTTCATCTCCACTTGGTTGTGGAGAGGTGGTATGTGTGTTTCTTCCCTGAGTTTGCACGCTGGCACCTTCATTTCCCTCTAGCTGCTCTACCTTCCTTTTTCCCCCTTCCTCTGTGTGCTTCTCAGAATCTTCTATTTGTTTATGTGTCTTCCTCCCCATGTGTGTGTGTGTATGAGAGAGAGAAAGATAATGGTTGAGCTGGAATGGAACATATCAATCATCTAATTCCCTCAGTTTATAGGTTTGGAAATTAAGGCCCAAGAATTCAGGTGACTTGACCAAATTCACGTAACTAAAAAGTGGCAGAGCAGGGAACGGAACCTGCTACTTTTTCCACTCTACTACTCTGTCCTGTTATCTGCACATTTGTATGTGTGGTTATGTGTCTGCCCCCTCCTCTTTAATATGAAATACAAATAGAGGTTTTTTTGGTATGTGTAGAATAAAACTGTTCCCTATTGTGTTTGAAGTGTTCATGGGCTTTGATTCTTATTGTACCCGCCATGGTCAGTACAGAAATCGTAACAGAAATGGTTTATATGCATTCATTCTGTCATTCAGCAAATATTTATTGAGCACCTGCTATGTACCAAACATAGATCTAGGTACTGGGGATATTGCAGTGTGAACAGAGCAAAGCTCCTTTCCCCTTGGGCTTGCATTCTAATTAGGGAGACAGATAACAAACCAGTAACTACAAAATGCACTTATGTAATTTTACTGGTAGTTCTGTGGTGAAAGACATTGCGAGTGAGGGTTAGAAGAACATTTCTGGATAATATTTTGCTCCTTTCTCTCTGCTAGTGCTTGAATTTATTACCCTAATACTAGGTTTATATCGTTTTCATTAGGAAATTCCATAAAGCCAATTAGATCTGAGACAAGAGAAAATACAATTTTTATCTTCAAACCTTGAAAAAAAGTTTAAATTGATATATTAACTTATAAATATATACATTTGTTCATCTATAAAAGATATACAAAGAACTTAACTTCAAGCCAAATGTGGTGGCACGCAGCTGTAGTCCCAGCACTCTGGAGGCTGGGGCAGGAAGATCATTTGAGCCCAGAAGCTTGAGGCTGTAGTGCTTTCTGTTCGCATCTGTTACTAGCAACTGCACTCTAGCCTGGGCAACATATTAGACTCCCATCTTAAAAAAATATATATCCAGGGTAGAATCTTGTAGTCCCAGCTACTCTGGAGGCTGAGGCAGGAGGATCAGTAGAGCCCAAGAGTTGGAGGCCAGCCTACAAAACATAGTGAGACCACATCTTAAGCTTGCTTCCTCTTCTATGCCTGTTTCCCCTGTGGCCCCCTAGCTGCTGTAGATAATCACTTTTATTAGATTTTTTAATGTCACTTTCCAGAAAATACAAATATATATTCTTATTTTTCCCCTTTCACTGTTCTGTACCGTTTTTTTTTTCCTTCACAACATGTCCCTAATTCATACTTTTAAATTAGATTTTAAAATTAACTCTAGTCCACCTAGTTAGAAACTTGTGGGCAAAAGGCTTATTATTACTCGGATGATTATATAATTTATCATCTAAAGGAGAACATGAAAGAAAGTGCCGTTACTTTACTTGGAGGCAAAAGCAGAAACTGGGACTGTCTTAGGGAAACCAAGATGTATGGTCGCTCTTGCTAGTGCTTACCTGCCTAGAAAGCATACCTAGGAATTTAAAATGGCCATTATTGAGTGGTTAGATCACAATTGCAATACCTTAAATTAAAGCTTCAAAAAGAATATACTCAATTGCAGATTGTGCTGCTATAAACTCATGTAACCAAACACCACCTGTTCCCCAATAAACAATGGAAATAAAAATTTTTAAAAAAATTATTACAGTCATAGGTGTTTCAGATCCATAGTAGCTTGTTAATGTTCAGACTGGTCTCTGGAAACTTGTCTCTGGATTCAGTATTGATAACAAACAGAACAGTGATAGTATTCTAGCAGTCTGTACAAGTCTGTACTCGTGTTTCATCTATCCAGTGTCTTTGGGAAATGAGTTAATGCATGTAAGTGAATGTTCCAGATAATGGAACTTTTCTACCAAGTTTTCTAACTTTTTTAATGAAAAATTATAAGATGTTTTTTATATTTCCTTTCTTCTTAAACAAGATACAAAAAAATAGTTTAATCACTTTTGACTACTCAAGGTCATCATTAAATAGATTCATTATTGTCTATGCTGTAATATAAAACATAGTTATCTCCTGTTTGGTTTCTGGTCTCCTTCACTGTCAGGCTGTCACCTGGCTCTTCATATTGCCGAAGTGGTATCTGCTGCTAACAGTTGTTTATCCATATTTCTTTTATGTTTTGCTGCTTCTAATCTGCTGGGTAAGCCGGTAACAAGTTTGTTAACAATGTGTGTTTATTAAGAGAGTACCTAAGCCCTGGGTGAATGCCTGAGTGTGAACGTAATGCTTGTATAGGGACATTCTAACAGTTATACTCGGTACTCAAGAGATCTTTTCCTTGGGTTCTGGGTAGTCTTGCAAAGGGTCAAACTCATTGAAGATCTTAAATACCAATAAGTATGATATTACTGTACTTTGTTCTTTCACTCAAGTCAGTCATATTTCTTGGTCTGCATTTTGCAGAGAGCATCTTGCCATATGTTCTCTATGGAAAGCTATAAACAGCAAATGTTGGGCTAATAGCAGTCTTTTCCCGGAATCCTTCCCATTGCCTTTCTGCTTCTCTGACATTATGAACAACTCTGCCTCACTTTTGGGATAGGGCCCTTTGGGACAAACTACCTGTGTCTGATTGAACTAGGGTAGGGGGTGGCCCTGTGAATGTAACTTCCCCAGTAGACCAGCATACATTTTTTTCTAGACTCTATCTGCTTTCATTTGTGTTTCTAGGGTGCTGTCAGTTTTCCCTGTGCTTATTTGGCTGAATTTTCATTAATTCAGTGGTATCCAGTTGTGCTGTGTGATATTTGTTGATGATGCTGGAGCTGTTGTAAGCAAATATATCAAACTTGCTAGTTGATCTCTGGCTAAACCCTGCCTTCTGCTATTGCTAACAGTAGAAATGATCTTCAGAGTCATTGATTTACTTTTGTTACTCATATCTGTATAGAGATCGTAAGTTTTCACATTATTACTGAATTCAGGTTGCCTACACATTAAAAATGCCAAAAATCTCTCTTTTCTCTTTGTGCACATAGGTCCCAGTCATGCAGGGAACAGGCATGCAAGGAGCGAGTATACAGGGTGGAAGCCAGTCTGGTGGCTTTAGTCCTGGGCAGAACCAAGTCACTCCACAGGATCATGAGAAGGTAAGCAACACTGTCTGACTGCCTCCTTATGCACAATTCTAGCCTTTTTGATTCCTCTTTTCACAGTTACCATGTGGTGATCCTGGGTCTTCAAAGTCCCTTTGAAGGTGATGTTTATTCTAGCTTAGAACTCTTTTATGATCTTGTTAACCTGAAAATTTGTGAGTCTGGTCCTAAAGTTTCTAATGGATGTAAAGTTCTTTAAGTGGATGTAAATGGCAGCTGATTTTATATTTCAGACTCATCTGCCAATAGCAGGTTTTTCTTCAGGCCAGATAGACCAGAAACCCCACACCCTTTTTCCTTCCCTTTCTACTTTATCCCTAAAAACAGTAGTAGATTCCCCATGATTATACCTCTCTGTTTTTATATTTGACCATTCTGGGGAACTTATGTCTGATGGAAAGGCTAAAATTTGTGAAAAAGAGAGACTTTTCAAACAGGATTAAAACCTGAAGGGTTTCCAGGGCTCACAGATACCATCTTAGTCTCCAGGAGCTTTGAGTTCATGAAGTTGTCTGTTTTGAATCGTCTAACCTTAGGTATTTTAATTTATAATTGTTCTTTTCTTTGTACTTTTTCTCACCAGCCTTTTTTTTTTTTTTTTTTTTTTGGCCTGTGGTTTTCTGTGTGAAATGTTATTCCTTTTTACATTTTGCTTCGTATCCCACTACAGTAGCTTTTTGGACAGAAGCTAGTGGTGGGTTTTTCATTTTGTTTTTTTAGCTGTCATCATTAAAACTCACTACCTTTTTTTCCTCTGCACAGGCTGCTTTGATTATGCAGGTTCTACAACTGACTGCGGACCAGATTGCCATGTTGCCTCCTGAGCAAAGGCAGAGTATCCTGATTTTAAAGGAACAAATACAGAAATCCACTGGAGCACCTTGATAGGTGAGCATACTTAATCCCATCTGAGTAGGACTAGCTCCTTGTCTATGCTGGGTATATACTTTTAACCTTAACCAACAAGATTGTTCTCTCACAGGCCCTCAAACCACTTAGCTAGAGTCTTCTTTACTCTTCAGTAGGTCAGCTCCACTAGGGATAGAGTAAGGCTATAGAATATTTGTACAGTTGTTGAATTGTTTACAGTCTTTCCTAATGACAAAGGTAATATATGATCAGTTTAACAAAAGTAATGGTATATAGAAATGTAGAAAATGAAAGATAAAAAGCCCTGTTTCCTCAATCTCATTCCCCAGACAAAACCTCTAAATATAGTTTGGTGTGTATCCTTCTACAATCAGTTGTATTATCTTATTCCAAACTGTCCTATCAAAATGGAAAACATACAAAGCATTTCAATAAAATGTACAAATATTTTGTTTCCTGTGTTTTATAGTGAATATTTTGATGTTGAACTATTACAGCACATAATTTAAGGTAGTAAATGTCCACCATCACCATCACTTTCTATGTATTTTGGAGATTGCTGTACCCTGCTACCCTTATTTTTCTTGCTCATTATTTAGGCATAAAGACTCCAGGGACCAGGCACAGTGGCTTACCCCTGTAATCTCAGCTTTGGCAGGCTTAGGTGGAAGGATGGATTGAGCCCAGGAGTTCAAGACCAGCCTAAGCAACATAGTGAGACCCCATCTTTGCAAAATTTTTTGGAAAATTAGCCAGGCATGGTGAGATGCGCCTATAGTTTCAGCTACTTGTGAGGCTGAGGTGGGAGGATTGCTCGAGTCCAGGAGGTCAAGCCTGTAGTGAGCCATGATGATGCCACTGCACTCCAGCCTGAGTAACAGAGTGAGACCCTGTCTCAAAAAGGATCCAAGTAACCTGCCTCATAAATAATCATGTGACAACTTGATTACATATACATGTATCGGTGTTTCTTTTTTAAAAAAAAAAAAAATCCCCAGCATTTTGTATTTTATAAACAATTCTTTTTTCTAAAAGTAGTTTAAAATTCACATTGTCCCACTGTCAGGTAGGACATCACAATTTAAATTTCTACTTTTTACCCCATCCATATTACAATTCCTATCCTTATGTTATATAATAGTGAACTCATACTATTAATAATTACCACTCTTAATAAGTCATTTTAATCCATATTTGTAATATCTTTAAACTGCAACTATGCATCATATCTGTATTTAGACTTTAAATGAATTAATGAGAAGCTATCATAGATGGACGGCTCTGTAGACTCTTAGTACCTTAATGTTTTATTCCACAAACCCTGCATATTCTATTTTCTTTTTAGTAAAAGTATAGACTACCTATTATATTCAGAGGAATAGATAAAAAATATTTCTCTTTTACTAATTTACTTTTGCGAGAGAAGGCATTTCCTACAACATGAGAAAATTACTGTTTCTGGATAGTGGAGGTAGAAATGTTTCTGAACGTTCTTTCATTATATATATATTCTTGCTTATAAGATGTTTAATTTAAGGCCTTGCATATTAACCACAGGGCAAGGTTTTTGCCTATTTTTTTTACCTTTTATTTTTAAATAATTATAGACTCAAGGAAAGTTGGAAAAATAGTACAAGGAGTCTCATGTACCCTTCACCCAGCGTAGTACAAAACCAAGAAATTGACATTGGCACATTATTGTTAACTTGACTACAAACTCAGTTTTCACCATTTTTAAAAACCTACCATAGTTTGTATGTGTGTATGTGTGGTTTTATGCACTTTTATGTGGGCAAGAGTTTACTGTGTGTCTGCTGGTGTTTGTGCATACGATGGCTTTCCCGCCATCCTATCCCTAGCTAGTTGTGATTCATCTCTGCCATCACTGACAGGCTTCTATACTATTATCATTAGAGATGAATGGTTCTCAAACAGGGGCAGTTTTGTTCCCTTGGGGACATTAGGCAATGTCCCGAGACATTTTTGGTCATCACACTTTTAAGGAGTATGGCATGCTACTGGCATTCAGTGGGTAGAGGCCACTGAAGCATCCCATAATGCACAGGATGGTCCCTGTCACCGACTTCCCAATAGCAACTAGTGCTCCAGCCCAAAATGTCAGTAGTGCTGAGTTTGAGAAACCCTGCTGCAAGGGATGATTGCTTTGAGGAGGCAGGACTCAGGAGACAGACACCTTGGAAATCTGGTGATTTGACTGTATGCCTGTCCTCCCTCCCCTAGCCTTTTTATTTTTTTCCTGATGTTTTTCCTGAAGAGAGCTTGTTCTTCACTTCTAATGGCTTTCTCCTAACTTTTTCCTACAGGTTTTCAAAAACACCTGGCAAGAAATCTGGAAGTTAATTCTATAATTTTGTTGAAATATTGAAAAAGATGACCTGCATCCTAACCCTTGAATGACTCAAATCAGTGCCAGGTGGAGGACTCCCATCACCTTCTCTCAGAACAAAAGCAATTCATTTCATTGTCTTAGTTTGTATATTTTCTGTGACTTGAAATAAACTTTAAACACAATTTTAGTACACTGCAAATTTATATACATGACCTTTTTGCTTTTAAAAAGCTGAACACTAAGGGTAAAACCTTAGATGTGTTTTCTCCCCTTACTGCAGTATTGTACTTTAACGTATTGCCACAGTTTTGTTTTTACTTTAAGTTAACCATGTATTCTTCTTGATGATTTTTGAGAATTTCTCAGAAGCAGTGTTTTCTGGAACTTGGTTTTTGTTTAGTTTGCTTCCAGTAAGAATTATTATAAGGCTTTGCCCTCTGAAAACTTCCTAGGTCTTCTGAGTCTTTTGGGAGAAAACAGCACGTGCTTAGAGCTATAAAATGGTCAGAAAGCTAACAGAACACAGAGCCTAGCACAGCCATGTGTTTAGTTTAGAAAAATCCAAATATCAAAATGCATTTCTTTCAATAGCAGGTCTGAACATGTATAATTCACAGTTAAGACAAAAATTGTTTAAGCACTGGTTTTAGTGTCTCAGCAACAGAAGAAACTGTTGACATTTACTTGTGTTTTCTTAAACTTATCAGTCTAGGCAGTCAACTTTGAAAGTTTAAAAAGCCACTGAGTTTTCACATGTTCAAGATGAAATAAAAACAAATCAAATGAACAAAATACATTTCATCCTATCTTCCAGGCAATCCCTAACCTGCAGCCCTACCCTGTAACTAAATTTACTCTGGGAACTTAAAACATAGAAAACCCTAAAACTTTTACATTCCTCTCAGTTATTTTAAGTGGACCAAATGTAAAGCACAGTCAGATTGCCCATTAGGTCTGCTCCTGCTTGCTTCCTTGCAGATAGGTATGAACATAATTAGTGCCATTTGCTCTAACCTTTGGGTCTTCTTGCCTAATATTCATTCTCTCTCTCTCTCTCTCTCTCTCTCTCTCTCTCTCTCTCTCTCTCCTCTCTCTCCTCTCTCATACACTCCCTCTCGTAGTGGCATTAAGGAGGAACATGGTTTCTCTCCATCAGGCCAACCTCAAGAGGTTAAGAGTTGCCTTAATAATCAGTAAAGTTCTACTGGAACTACTTTTGAGCCAATTTATATTCTTGGAATCCTATCCCCTGGGTTAGGATTATGGTCAGGTGAATTAAAAGCCTGGCATAGGCTTAGAGAATGTAATAGCATATTGCTTACATGTCAAGCAAAAGAATGCAAAGATAATCAACTTTATGAGTTACAATGAAATTGACGGATTTTCTACTCTGATATATAAACATTTATAAGAAATGCTGATTAAAGTATTTCATATTACAATATCGCAAGAAAAACTTCCTCGAAGCAGGTGAGGAGCTTCCTGTGTATCCTGCTCATCCCCAGTTCAACTTGGATGTTGGTTATGCATAGGATTTATTATTTTCGTTATGAATATAATAAATCATGAATTTATGCCTACTTCCATAAATATTCAAGATTTAGAATGTTGATTTCGGCAGTAGTTGTATCTTGAAGTGAGTGTGTCAATATATTTAGACATGGAGGCCAAGAGTGACACCTTTCTCGTTAGGAACTTGTAAGTTTCAAGGAACACTAAGATTCCAAATTAAGGTCATTGAAGATGAAATTATCATTTGGAAAATTATCATTTTCCGAATGCCTTAGTAAACCTGAATTAAATAGCTGAAATCTGGGCGAACAAATTGGCAACAGCAGAGGTATCCCTCCCTACATAAACACCCATCAGTATTTTTTTACTGTTTTAATAGATGAAACACAATCAGCTACAATGAGTTCATGACCTACCTTTATTGTGCTCAGACTAGTGACAAAAAAACAACAACAACAAAAAAACAGTTTTATCCCTCAAACAATAGAGGTTCCTAAAATATTAGAAACAACCATTTGTTCAATCTTGGTCACTTACTGGTAGAAAAAATAGATAATATAATGCTAATTCAGTGGAACCATCCTTATAAATCTATAATGAGTTGAATTGCCTGGGCACAATGAAGAGTGAGGTTTCTCTCTTAAGAGCCCTGAGCTTCTCTCCTAGTGATTCACTGTGACTACTAACATCCCAGAGCCAGTGTGGTCCTTGTAGGCCAAGGTTGGGTAGATGGGAGAAATAAAAAGCATTCTGATAGAGAAAGAAAGCATTTTGATTATGTCATAGCTGAATGATTCCTTAGCGAATAGGTAGGAGTCCACAAAAATCTATTAAAATTATAAATTGTTATTTTTTAAAGTAGACATTAATAAATTCCCTTAATAAAAACAGTGATAAAGAGCTCCTCTTGACTAAATAAGTCATCCTAACATGGAGTTCAAATTTTCACAATTGCTTTTAACAGAATAATACAAGATGATAATGTAACTGACTTGCAATTATAGAACAATTTCAATTACAATAGCATACTTTCTAGATTTTCTTTTTCAAATGGAGAACCCAAAAAGAAGTAACAAAAGACTCATTCATCAAGCAAAGAAGAAAATCCTTTATTTTTTGACAAGCAAAAATAAGAATAAATTGCTGTTCACACTGGATAATACCATATGGAAAGTAACAGTAAAAATGTACACTGTTGGTGTTATATGGGGAAGGGGTTCTTGGTAACTTTGTTTATTATTTATGTTTATTGTTATGTTTTATCATTAATTATTCAATAAATTTTTATTTAAAAAGTCACCCTACTTAGAAATCTTCTGTGGGGGTGAGAGGGGCAAGAGATTACAAACCAAAATTCAGGAGATAGTAACATCTGGAATTGATAAAACTGCCTGGGATTGATTGTATAACTCTCAACCACCAAAGCTCTGCTATCAAGCCTTGCTACAGTCACGGCTGTCCAGAAGTACAGCTGTTTTCCCAAGAAAGGATCCATGGGCTTTAAGAACTTCAGAAGTTTTTACGTTGCTGAAGCTTAAGTGACAAAGTTGAATGCAGTCAAAAAAAAGAATGCCAGGGAGTCAAGGCTTGAGAGGCACATTCTTCAAGTGACTGCTCAAACCTGACCAGACCAAGTAAGTTATTGAAGATACAAAGGAGAGACAATGCCGATTACCATCCTTATGCCTATAATTCAAAAATTTTCTTTGTTGAAGTAGAATTGAACCTTCCTAGGATCTAGACTGGAATATCGGTGACAGCATTTGCGCAGGCTCTTTGCCAAAGCCTGAGGGCCACATAAGAAAACTCCCACTACAGACCTGTAGGAACAGAACAATAGTAAGGGCTAGAATGCAACAATGATAGAATGGAGAAACTGCCTCTGTTAGGTCTCTACTACTTCGAAGAACCTTGAATAAAAATTTGGTTGTTAACTCCCACATTCTTCATGGTAATTGTCTAACCTTCTCTGCGCACAAACCCCAAATATGCTCTCAGCCCTTATCATTCTCAGCACTCAGCCTACCCTGTTTTATTAAGAACACAGATGAGACATAGGACAGTACAGTGGCTAAAGGCCAGACTGTGGAGCCAGTCTGCCTGGGTTCAAATCTCAGCTCTGACATTTATCCCATCTGTGGGAATTTGGCCAAATTTCTTTTTTTATTTTATTTTATTTTATTTTTTTTTTTGAGATGGAGTCTCACTCTGTCACCCAGGCTGGAAAGCAGTGGCATGATCTTGGCTCACTCACTGCAACCTCCTCCTCCCTGGTTCAAGCAATTTTCCTGCCTCAGCCTCCCGAGTAGCTGGGACTACAGGCGCACACCGCCACGCCCAGCTAATTTTTGTATTTTTAGTAGAGACAGGGTTTCACCATGCTGGCCAGGCTGGTCTCAAACTCTTGACCTCAAGTGGTCTACCTGCCTCGGCCTCCCAAATTGCTGGGGTTGCAGGCATGAGCCATGGTGCCTGACAAGGGGAATTTTCTTAGCTTCTCTGTGTTTCAGCTTTCCCACCTGTAAAATGGGGATAAAAATAGTACCCACCACATAGGGGTGTTTTAAAGATTAAATGAGAACATGTAAAGAAATTAGAAAAATACCTGGCTTATAGCGAGTACGTATGTTTTAGCTCCCGTTAAAGCCATCCATTGTGAGCTTATCCCCACCTCAAAATTTCTTCTGGAGAGGTAGTGTTCTTTCTTGCCAAGGCTAATCTTTCCAACTATGCTCTGGATCTCACCCTCTTCTCCCTTCTGTCATACCTTTCTCTCTCTTTTTAAAAAATCTAATTATGGTATAGTTTCTATACCATAAAATTCGCCCATTTGAAGTGTACAATTTGTGCTTTTTAGTATAGCCACAAAGTTATGCAACCATCACCGCTATCGAATTCCAGAACATTGTCATCATCCCCAAAAGAAGCCCCATCCATATTAGCCGTCTCATTTCCTCCCAACTACCCTGTACTACCCAGGACAATCACTAATCTACTTTCTGACTCTGTGGTATGCCTATTCTGAATGTTTCACAAGTGGAATCATAAAATACATGGCCTTTGGTGTCTGGTGTCTTTCAGCATGATGTTGTCAAGGTTTATCCATGTTGTAGTATGTATCAGTACTTTCTTTTTACAGCTGAATAGTATTCCAGTAGGTGAATGTACTACATTTGCTTTATCCATTCATCTTTTGATGGACACTTGGGTTGTTTTCACTTTGGGGCTATTAGGAATAATGCTGCTGTATACATCATGTACAAGTTTTTGTGTAGACATATATTTTCATTTCTCTTGGGTGTATAACAAGGAGTGGAATTGCTGGGTCATATGGAAACTATGTTTAACACTTGAAGAACTGCCAAAGAGTTTCCTCCAAGTGTGGTACCGTTTCACGTTCCCACAAGCGATATAGTAGGATTCCAACTTCTCCACTTCCTTGTTAACACTATTGTCCATTTTTTATTATGGCCATCTTAGTCGTCTCCCCTCTTTTGTATATTTTATCTTGTGTACTGGCCCCTGTTCTGTCTATAAATATCCTTAAGCTAAATGAACATTTCCTGACCCTTCTACTCTCCCTACACTATTGACTACACTTCTCTAATATTTGCTCCCTTGGTTTCCATGACACTGCTTCTCTATGTGCTCCTATTTCTTCCCTGGTTTGTCTTTTTCTCTTCCCATATAACCTAGACAGCATTCCGTAGTGCTCTGTCCTTTGCTAGTCTCTCTCTCCTTCTCTCTCTCCCTGACAATCTCATACTCTCTTACAACTTCAGTTACATTCAACACAATTATTAGCATCTCTTATGCTTATATGCTGCTTTACAATTTACAAAGCATTTTTTTAAATATATTGTCTCACTTAATCATCGCAACAACCCTGCAAGTGAGTAGAGCAGGCATTCGCTAATATGACCCTTGTCTTACAGATGAGGAATCAAGATCAGAGGGTTCAGAAGCTCAAGGTCTCAGAAGTAGAAAGTGTCAGAACCAGCATGAGGGCCGGGCACAGTGGCTCACGCCTGTAATCCCAGCACTCTGGGAGGCCGAGGTGGATGGATCACCTGAGGTCAGGAGTTCGAGACCAGCCTGGTCAACAGGGCAAAACCCCATCTCTACTAAAAATACAAAAAATTTGCTGGGCATGGTGGCGAGTGCCTGTACTCCCAGCTACTCAGGAGGGTAAGGCAGCAGAATTGCTTGAACCCAAGAGGCAGAGGTTGCAGTGAGCCGAGATCACACCATTGCACTCCACCCCAGGCAACAGAGCAAGACTATGTCTCAAAAGAAAGAAAGAAACAGAATGAGGACCCAGGATCATCTGAATCCAAGTCAGTAAGTGCTCTGACCACTGCTTTCCTGAAGCCTTTCCTAATCATGCCATGCGGCCATAGACTGTTCTTCCCTCTAGCGTCCGTGAACCTGTTTCACAGAATGCATTATTCTGCCTTGAGGTGGACTGTGTGCATCTCTTATTCAAACCTATGCTCCTTGAGGGCAAGAACCATACCCTATTTCTGTTTCAACCTCCAAAGCTTCTAGAATCGTGAGAGCTGAGCTTATAAGAGGTAACCAAGGCTGGGCTCAGTGGCTCATGCCTGTAATCCCAGCACTTTTGGAGGCTGAGGCAGGTGGACCCCAGCTACTTGGGAGGCTGAGGGAGGAGAATCGCTTGAACCCAAGAGGCGGAGGTTGCAGTGAGCCAAGATTGCGCCATTGCACTCCAACCTGGGCAACAAGAGCGAAACTCCGTCTCAAAAAAAAAAAAAGGTAACCAAGAATGTTTGTAGCACTGAATTGATCATCACCTGCCTACTTGTTGTGGGAATCTCAGCTTCATCTCCTTCCCATTGGAATGGCTGATTTCATAGCACCAGGGTTTTCTGTGCTCTAATACGTCTCAAAACCCTCCAGAAAGATTGAGCTCAGGTGGCTGGTAAACTAGATAATACCCTTGTTACTTTAAGTAGAGATTATTGAGTCCCCTCCTGGCAAAAATGCATTTGAATTGCTCCAGTTCTCTAGTTTGTTTGGTAGTTTAGATCAGAAATGGATCCATTTGCCTCACTGTTTGAATGGAGTTTCCTGGGGCAAAAAACCTCTTTTCATCAATCACAAGATCATGACCCTATCTTTCTAAAATGCCAGATGAAATTTCCTCAGTCTTCACTGAGAATCTAAGAATGGCACAAAAGGTTTCTTCCCCAGAGATCTTTTCCTAAGAGTGTTCAACATGCTGTAATACCTTTCCAAATCCTTAACTCCGCAAGCTCAATTTACTAGAGGAAAATATACTTACTTGGGGTGGGAGGTAGCTATTTTAGAAAACTCATTGTCCCACATTGGTCTCCCAAAGGAAGTTTTCTGTTTCAGACCTGTCAGGATGTCAGTGGCCTTGTCAAAGTTTAATGCTGCTTGACCAACCTGGATTCAGAGGAATAAAAGTTAGAAAAACCAAGCCCTGATAGCTGCCTCTTCTTTCCTCCACCTTTAAACTTGGGTGTGAGTGTGAGAGCAGGTAGAAAATCATAAGAAATAATTTCCAATCCATATGCACTATCCCTTGTCTGATATTCATCTTACGTTTAGCAGGGGAATTGGTGTGTTATTTAAACTCACAATATTGCTGTCCCATCCAGTGAGGAAGAGACGGTAGTTTAGAAAACCCACTTTGCCTAATTCCTCCATCTCCTGTTCCAGGGAAGTCAACAGGTCGTTGAACCAGGAAAAGGCACCTGTCTCCCTGCAGATCCAGTAGAAATAGATCTGAAATCAGCAAGAGAGAGCATAGCCTTACTAAGTGACCTTAAACATCACATTTACAAAGTAGCAAACTTTAGGGAGCAGGAATGTTCAGAGTTCTGACAATTTTCCTTATGAAAGAGCCTTCCAACATCTTTGGGTCAGAGTGATTTTAAACTGCAAATTGAAAAGAACACCCTGCTCTTATGATAAATCTGTAGAAGTGGATGTCCTGGCCAAGACAAGTGATCCCTTATTCTCGTAACTCCAGGGAGAGTTTGCTCCCTTATCAATTGTAAAGAGCTTAGCCCAGAAAGGCAATAGACTTGTCAGACCCAGATCAGGTGAAAAGTGATATACAGGATTATACCTTTTTTGTTTTGAGGTTGTGGTCTGCACACTGGAATTTGTACCAGATGGATTTCAAGATAGAAGCAAAGGGGGTGACCCCAATTCCTGCTCCAACCAGCACAGCCACTTCATACTGGAAAACATCCTCACTGGCTGTGCCAAAGGGACCATCCACTTCAATCCTGGAAGAATATAGACGACAAGGGGCAACTGAAGACTCCCCTCCACCTCCAACCTCAAACATCCTCCCAGAGATATAGTTGTTCCCATGACTGGCTTCTGCCTATTTATTTTAATCTTAGTCTATTGTACTAAACTTAAGGTTCAACAAAGAATTGCTTTCTCTTTTCTGCCAGTCTGCATCCTGGTCTGAGACTCTGCTTGTATCAAGGACCTACCTGGGAATTGTTAAATATTGTTGTTCAAAAGCCCTTATGAGATTTTCTGTCCAGTCCCCTGCTGCTCGGATATGAATGGAGAAGAAATCTTCCTCTGGAGCAGAGGTCAATGTAAAAGGATGCCATTCCAAGAGAGAGATTGAAGGGCAATTAACAAAGATATACTGTCCCACTTCCATGCTGAAGCCACGCTTGTTCATCTGCAATTCTACAACTTTGGATGGGTGCATGACAACCTGTGAATTAAGCACATAGACCAAAGACGGCAAACTCTAATGGCGACAGGGCCAGACAGATAAAGCAAATGAGTGAAGCTGGAGGGCTGGTGACGATGGTGAACTACAAACACAAGTCCTCACTAAAGAGGGCAGCAGCTGCTTAGCTCCAGACAATGGTTGCAGATGGAACCATGGCAGTGTTATCAGGTTTTCTGATTCTTCAAGAGAAGCAAGAAATTGCTTTTAAAAACTCAAACAGAAGCTTCCATCCAGATTTTTAAATACTGGCAACCAATTCAACTTTATAAACAAACATTGTGTACACCAAACAAAATGTATCCGTGGACTAGATCTGGCCCAGGCTGCCTGTTTGCAACCCCTGTCATAGACTTATCCTGATGATTTCTGCAAAACCACTCTTTCCCAGTTCTGTCCTGCACTGGAAGAACTAAGGTATGTCAAACCCAAATTCTTATTTTTTTTTAAGAGGGTCTCTCTCTGTCGCCCCCAGGCTGGAGTGCAGTGGCACAATCTCGACTCACTGCAACTTCCTCCTCCTCCCAGGTTCAAGCCATTGTCCTGCCTCAGCCTCCCAAGTAGCTGTAATTACAGGCGGGTGCCACCATACCCACCTAACATTTTTCGTATTTTTAGTAGAGACAGGGTTTCACCATGTTGGCCAGGCTGGTCTTGAACTCCTGACCTCAGGAGATCTGCCCTCCTCGGCCTCCCAAAGTGCTGGGATTACCACCCGGCAGGCCCGGCCTCCAAGTTCCTCCTTATCCCCTTTGGGGTGACAACAGAAGAATTTAGTTCTATAGTCTAATAGAAGAAAACTCTTTTTTTTGAGACGGAATTTCGCTCGTTACCCAGGCTGGAGTGCAAAGGCGAGATCTTGGCTCACCGCAACCTCCGCCTCCTGGGTTCAGGCAATTCTCCTACCTCAGCCTCCTGAGTAGCTGGGATTACAGGCACGCGCCACCATGCCCAGCTAATTTTTTGTATTTTTAGTAGAGACAGGGTTTCACCATGTTGACCAGGATGGTCTCGATCTCTTGACCTCGTGATCCACCCGCCTTGGCCTCCCAAAGTGCTGGGATTACAGGCGTGAGCCACCGCGCCCGGCCCCCAGAAGAAAACTCTTACCACAGCAAGAGGAAAGTGCATACTCTTTTTTTTTTTTTTTTTTTTTTTGAGACGGAGTCTCGCTCTGTTGCCAGGCTGGAGTGCAACGGTGTGATCTCGGTTCACTGCAACCTCTGCCTCCCAGGTTCAAGCAATTCTCCTGCCTCAGCCTCCTGAATAGCTGGGACTACAGGCGCATGCCACCATGCCCAGCTAATGTTTGTATTTTTAGTAGAGACGGGGTTTTACCATGTTGGTCAGGATGGTTTTAATCTCTCGACCTCGTGATTCACCCGCCTCGGCCTCCCAAAGTGCCGGGATGACAGGCATGAGCCATCATGCCAGGCTGGAAGGTGCATATTCTTTACCTTGGTAATCACAACCTTCTGCTGGGAGCGATAAAACCGGAGGATTCTTTCACAGATATAAAGAATGACCGGTGCAAGGATCCACTTCCAAGACTGCAGAGACAGGGTACAGAATGACATTACACTTTATTTTCTTGTTTAGGACTTATTTGTGTAGCAGTTCATCCTTCATTCAATATTTACTGAGTTCTCCAATGCGTATCTTTTTTTTTTTTTTTTTTTTTTTTGAGACGGAGTTTCGCTGTTGTTACCTAGGTTGGAGTGCAATGGTGCGATCTCAGCTCACCACAACCTCTGCCTCCTGGGTTCAGGCAATTCTCCTGCCTCAGCCTCCTGAGTAGCTGGGATTACAGGCACGCGCCACCATGCCCAGCTAATTTTTTGTATTTTTTTTAGTAGAGACGGGGTTTCACCATGTTGACCAAGATGGTCTCGATTTCTTGACCTCGTGATCCGCCCACCTCGGCCTCCCAAAGTGCTGGGATTACAGGCGTGAGCCACCCTGCCCAGCCCTAATGTGTATCATTTTTAAGCCACTAATTTCACCAAATCTGGAAGATGGAAATAGAAAAAATAAACGACAATGGTTTTGTTTGTTAATCTGTTATTCATAAAACAGATCATTTCCTGAAAATTTACAAGTCTGACCAAGCAGCAAGAGAAAAGCACAGAAATAGGACACATGGTAAATACTCATGTTCTCAAATTACATATAAAATTTAATTTTAAGTCCTGGCACAGTGGCTCATCCTAGCACTTTAGGAGGCCGAGGTGGGCAGATTGCCTGATCTCTCGGAGACCCAGCCAGGGCAACATAGCAAAAGCCTGTCTCTACTAAAAATACAAAAAATTGGCTGGGTGTGGTGGTGTGTGCCTGTAATTCCAGCTACATGGGAGGCTGAGGCATAAGAATCGCTTGAACCCTGGAGGCAGTAGAAGTTGCAGTGAGCTAAGATCACACCACTGCACTCCAGCCTGGGCAACAGAGCAAGACTGTCTGCAAAAAAATAAAATAAAATAAGATTTAATTAAAAAATCTAAGACTATCTTCAAGGACAACTTGTCCAATGTAAAAAACCAACAGAGAAAGTAGATGTGAAAATAGAAACAGATAATCAAAAACAAACACAAAAAATGGGAAAGCTGATGCTATTGGGTACATAAAAACTCAGTTCTTATCCATCACCTCCTTTCTCAAGTGCTTAAACATTTAATATAGTAATATTTTTTACCTTGTCTACATTTTTTTTTTAAGTGCAGCTTTTCAGCCAGGTGTGGTGGCTCATACCTGTAATCCCAGCAGTTTGGAAAGCAGAGGTGGGTGGATCACTTGAGATCAGGAGTTCAAGACCAGCCTGGCCAACGTGTTGAAACACCATCTCTACTAAAAATACAAAAATTATCCGGGCGCGGTGGTGGACGCCTGTAGTCCCAGCTACTCAGGAGACTGAGAAAGGAGAATCACTTGAACCCAGGAGGTTGCAGTGAGTCAAGTTCATGCCACTCCACCCCAGCCTGGGTGACAGAGTGAGACTCTGTCTCAAAGAACAATTTTTTTTTTTTTTTTTTTTTTGAGACGGAGTTTCGCTCTTGTTACTCACGCTGGAGTGCAATGGCATGATCTCGGCTCACCGCAACCTCCGCCTCATGGGTTCAGGCAATTCTCCTGTCTCAGCCTCCCGAGTAGCTGGGATTACAGGCACGCGCCACCATGCCCAGCTAATTTTTTTGTATTTTTAGTAGAGACGGGGTTTCACCTTGTTGACCAGGATGGTCTTGATCTCTTGACCTCGTGATCCACCTGCCTCGGCCTCCCAAAGTGCTGGGATTACAGGCTTGAGCCACCGCGCCCGGCCCAACAATTTTTTTTTTTTAAAGCAGCCTTTCTATCCCTGAGATCTTTGCAAAGCAGCAGTTTGCTTCTGCATGCACAGGAGCTACTAAAAATGTACTTCCTAGCAATACTAAATCCTGTCCTTTCTTGCACAGTTGCTCAAGTGTGATAACCTTGGGACTGTGTGAAGTGACGTTTCTTAAGTTGGTACAGGCAAATAACTTCCTTGAGTATCTCTAGGGAAGGAAAAGGCAGAGATGTGACAAGTGAAACAGAGTGAACATTATGCAATTCAGTGCTATTTCTTATTTGAAAAAAAAAAATTCCCCAGCTGAATTTGGGGAAAATCATATTTAAGAAACGGATAATAACAATGTGAAAAAAATATTGGCTTCAGAAGTAGTCAGAGTAATAAATATTAAAACAAGATACCATTTTAGTCTCTCAAATTGAAAAACAATTTTAAGTAATAATGTCCAACATTAACTGGGATTCAGAGAAATGGGCGTGTTCACATGGGCATGCAAATTGAACATGAAAATTGAACACACATTTCACTTGGGTGAAAATGCAAATTGGCAACATCTTCCCAGAGAGCAATTTAGCAGTACATCTCAATAGCCTCAAACGCATTCCTTCTCTTTAACCCTGGAACTTCACTTCTAGGAAATGAAGATAAATAATTAAGGTGTGAAAAAGTATTATACATGAGTAAAGTAATGGCCACATGTTTACTTTAAAACATGATTAAAATGGTGTATATCATACAGGTTTTTTGTTTTTATTTTTGTTTTGAGACGGTGTCTCACTTCATGCAGTGATGTAATCTCGGCTCACTGCAACCTCCGCCTCCTGGGTTCAAGCAATTCTTCTGCCTCAGCCTCCTAAGTAGCTAAATCTACAGGCATGCACCACCACACCCAACTAATTTTTTTATTTTCAGTAGAGATGGGGTTTCACCTTGCTGGCCAGGCTGGTCTGGAACTGCTGGCCTCAAGTGAGCCACCTGTCTCAGCCTCCCAAAGTGCTGGAATTACAGGCATGAGCCACCACACCTGGCCAACTATTTTAAAACAAATGTTTCAAGGCTGGGCGTGGTGGCGCACGCCTGTAATCCCAGCATTTTGGGAGGCTGAGGCAGCCAGATCACCTGAGGTCAGGAGTTGGAGACCAGTCTGGCCAACATGGCAAAACCCTGTCTCTACTAAAAATCCAAAAATTAGATGGGTGTGGTGGTGCATGCCTGTAGTCGCAGCTACTCAGGAAGCTGAGGCAGGAGAATCACTTGAACCCGGAAGGCGGAGGTTGTAGTGAGCCAAGATCACGCCACTGCACTCCAGCGTGGGTAGCAGCCTGAGATTCTGTCTCAAAAAAAAAATGTTTCAAAAGAATATTTGACAACAGAGGAAAACATCCATGATATCAATCAAGGAAAAATATCATTTCCTCTAGGTGGTAGAACTCTAAGAAATTTTTTATTTACTTCTAAAATATTTTTGTATTTTCCAAACTTTCTACAATAGATGTATATTATTTTTCTAATTTTTAAATGGGGTGAATATGGAGAGAGTATTTTTTCAATGTTTATGGGGCCAGGCGTGATGGCTCACGCCTATAATCCCAGCACTTTGGGAGGCCAAGGTGGGTGGATCACGAGATCAGGAGTTCAAGACCAGCCTGGCCAACACGGTGGAACCCCCCATCTCTACTAAAAATACAAGAAATTAGCCGAGCGTGGTGGCACGTGCCTGTATTCCCAGCTACTCTGGAGGCTGAGGCAGGAGAATCGCTGGAACCCAGGAGGTGTAGGTTGTGTTGAGCATAGATAACACTATTACACTCCAGCCTGGGTGACAGAGCAAGACTCTGTCTCAAATAAATAAATAAATGTTTATGGAAGAATCAAAGCAATACATTCAGGTGGCAAAACTGGTGTTCTCTCTCTTAGAGAGAGAACGTATTACACGACCAACCAAAGCAAACCCTAAATTTTAAGGATACGAAATAGGCCAAATATAACTTAACTCAGGTTATACATAAGAAAAAGACAGAAGCTGATGTGCCAGGTAAGACAAGGTATTAACCATCTTAGCTAATAAGCTTTGCTAATAAGCCGTAAATAGCTCCCTATCCTAATACAGGTCCCTGGTTATGATCTTACAATTTCCTCTGACTTTAGAAATGAAATGTGCTATTAACATATTCCAGGTAAGTCCTTTCAAAATTACTTTTTTTTTTGAGACAGGGTCTTTCTCTGTCAACCAGGCTGGAGTGCAATGGTGCCATCACAGCTCACTGCAGCCTCAACCTCCTGGGCTCAAGTGATCCTACCATCTCAGCCTCCCGTATAGCTGGAACCACAGGCATGTATCACCATGCCCAGCTAATTTTTTAATATTCTGTAGAGACAAGGTCTTCCTATGTTGACCAGATTGGTCTTGAACTATTGGACTCAAGCAATCCTCCTGCCTCAGCCTCCCAAAGTGCTGAGACTGCAGGCATGAGATACTGTGCCTCGCACAAAATTACTTTTTTTTTTTTTAACTTCTATTTTAGGTTCAGAAGTACATGCGCAGGTTTGTTATAGAGGTAAACTGCATGTCATAGGGGTTTGGTAAACAGATTATTTCATCACCCAGGTAATAAGCATAGTACCCATTAGATAGTTTTTTGATCCTCTCACTCCTCCCTTTCTCTACTCTCAGGTAGGCCCTGGTGTGTGTTATTTCCTTCTTTGTGTCCATATATACTCAATGTTTAGCTCTCACTTATAAATGAGAACAAGTGGTATTTGGTTTTCTGTTTCTGCATTAGTTTGCTTAGGATAATGGCCTCCAGCTCCATCTATTTTGCTGCAAAGGAGGTGATCTCGTTGTTTTCTATGACTGCATTGTATTCCATGGTGTATATGTGCCACATTTTCTTTATCCAGTCTACCATTGATGAGCATTTAGGTGGACTCCATGTCTTTGCAATTGTGAATAGTGCTGCAATGAACACACAAGTGCAGTGTCTTTGTCATAGAATGATTATATTCCTTTGAGTATATACTCAGTAATGGGATTGCTGGGTCAAATGGTAATCTGTTTTCAGTTCTTGGAGGAATTATCACACTGCTTTCCACAATGGCTGAACTAATTTACATTTCCACCAGCACTATATAAGCGTTCTCTTTTCTCTGCAACCTCACCAGCATCTGTTATTTTTTGACTTTTTAACAATAGCCATTCCGACTGCTGTGAGGTGGTGTTTCATTGTGGTTTGGATTTGCATGTCTCTAATGATCGGTGACTTTGAACATTTTTTCTTATGTTTGTTGGCTGTGTGTGTCTTCTTTGGAAAACTGTTTCTTTATGACTTTTGCCCACTTTTTTTGGAGACTTCACCCACTTTGTTATGGGATTGTTTGGTTTTTGTTTGTTAATTTCTTTAGGTTCCTTACAGATGCTAGGTATTAGACTTTTTTTTTTTTTTCTTTTTTTTTAAGATGGGGTTTCACCATGTTGGTCAGGCTGGTCTTAAACTCCCGACCTCAGGTGATCCACCCGCCTTGGCCTCCAAAGTGCTTGGATTACAGGCATGAGCCACTACACCCGGCCGATATTAGACCTTTGTCAGATGTGTAGTTTGTAAATATTGTCTCCCATTCTGTAGGTTGTCTACTCTGTTGGTAGTTGCTTTCGCTGTGCAGAAGCGCTTTAGTTTAATTAGATCCTATTAATCAATTTTCATTTTTGTTGCATTTGCTTTTGGCATCTTCATCATGAAATCTTTGCCAGGGCCTATATCCTGAATGGTATTGCCTATGTTGTCTTCCAGGGTTTTTATAGTTTGGGGTTTATGTTTTACAGTCTTTAATCCATTTTGAGTTGGTTTTTGTATATGGTGTAAGGAAGGAGACCAGTTTCAATCTTCTTCATGTGGCTAGCCAGTTATCTCAGCACCATCTATTGAATAGGGAGTCCTTTCCCCATTGCTTATTTTTGTCAATTTTGTTACAGATCAGATGGTCATGGGTATGTGACATTATTTCTGGGCTCTCTATTCTTTTCCATTGGTCTGTGTGTCTTGCTTTGGGCAGTATGCCCATTTTAATAATATTGATTCTTTCTATTCATTAGTGTGGAATGTTTTTCCATTTGTTTGTGTCATCTCTAATTTCTTTGAGCAGTGTTTTGTAATTCTCATTGCAGAGATCTCTCACCTTCCTGGTTTGCTGTATTCCTAGGTATTTTATTCTTTTTGTGATATTGTGAATGGGATTGCATTCTTGATTTGGCTCTCAGTGTAGGTGTTCTTGGGGTATAGCAATGCTACTGATTTTTGTATATTGATTTTGTATCCTGAAACTTTGCTGAAGCTGTTTATTAGATCTAGGAGCTTTTGGACATAGACTATGGGGTTTTCTACGTATAGGATCATATTGTCTGCCAGTGGAGATAGTTTGACTTTTTGTCTTCCTATTTGGATGCCTTTTATTTCTTTCACCTGCCTGATTGCTCTGGCCAAAACTTCCAGCACTATGTTGAATAAGAGTGGTAAGAGAGTGAAACCTTGTCTTGTTCCAGTTTTCAAGGGGAATGCATCCAGCTTTTGCCCATTCAGTATAACATTGGCTGTGGGTTTGCCATAGATGACTCTTACTATTTTGAAATATATTCCTGCAATGCCTAGTTTGCTGGGAGTTTTTCATATGAAGGAATGTTGAATTTTATCAAAAGCCTTTTGTGCATCTACTGAGATAATCATACGGTTTTTGTCTTTAGTTCTCTTTATGTGATGAATCACATTTATTGACTTGCATATGTTGAACCCTACTTGCATCCCAGGGATAAAGCCTACTTGGTCCTGGTGGATTAGCTTTTTGATGTGCTACTGGATTCCATTTGACAGTATTTTGTTGAGGATTTTTTCATCTATGATCATCAAGGATATTGGCCTGAAGTTTTCTTTTTTGGGGTATCTCTGCCACATTTTGGTATCAGATGATGCTGGCCTCATAGATTGAGTTAGGGAGGAGACCCTCCTTTTCAATTTTTTGCAATAGTTTCAGTAGGAATCGTACCAGATTTATACATTTGGAAAAATTAGGCTGTGAACCTATCAGGTTCAGGGCCTTTTTTTGGTTGTAGGCTTTTTATACTGATTCAGTTTTGAAACTCAATATTGGTCTGCTCGGAGATTAAATTTCTTTGTTGTCTTGTCTTGGGATGTTGCATGTGTCCAGGAATTTATCCATTTCCCTTATTTTATTTTATTTTATTTTTTAGTTTATGTGCCTAGAGGTGTTCATAGTAGTCTCTGAGGGTTTTTTTTTTTTTTTTTAATTTATTTATTTCTGTGGGGTCAGTGGCAATATATTTGTCATTTCTGATTGTGTGTATTTGGATCTTCTCTCTTTTTTTCTTTATTAGTGTAGCCAGTGATCTATTCTTTATTTGTGTAGCTAGCAGTCTATCTATCTTATTATAAAATTACTTTCTAAATAGGTAATACACGTATATGGTACAAAATCTGAAAGTACAACAGGATATACAGTAAGAAGCAAATCCTCTGGCCCCTCCAGATCCCCAGAGGCAATGTTATTATTTTGTGAATTCTTCTGGAGAACATGCATTTAAGTGATCTTTTCAATGGGAATGATAGGGGACTATACACACTGCCCTGCTTTTTACATTTAACATCTTAGGGACTGGTCCCTATTAGTGTCTGTGGTGCTGTCTCTTTCGTTTTCCTCGTTGCAGACTATTCCATTGCATAAAAGTCACAAAAGGTAAGTAGTGCCCCATTGATGGACACTTGTTTCCAAACGTTTTTCTATTAAACACTGCTGTAATGAATAACTTAAGGCATGTAACTTAACATATATACAAGTGTATTTGTGGAATAAATTGGAAGTCAAGTTTTAAAGCTTAGTTGCTACTGCCAAATCACTCTCTACAAGCAGTTGTATAGGTTTACATCTAACCAGCAACGCATAAGAGCATTTCTCTATACTCTTGCCAATACCATACATTAGCAGGTTTTTTAATCTTTGCTAATCTGTTAGGTTAACAGATTCTCCTCGTTTTATTTGGCTTTGTTTCCATGATAACATTAAGCATCATTCCATATATTTAACATCAAGATAGATCTCCATTTCTGAGATCATTCTGTTCATATTTTCTACATCTTCTTTAATCATGTTGTTAGACCTTTTTTTATTGATTTCTAGGAGTTATTTATATATTAAGAAATTAGTCCATGGCCTATAAGTTGTAAATACTTTTCCAACTTGGTAATTTGCAGTCTGTCTTAATTTATAATGGGGATTTTTGTTAGTTTTTTTTTTTTTTGAGACAGGATCTCACCATCACCCAGGCTGGAGTGCAGTGGCATGATTACAGCTCACTGCAGCCTCAACCTCCCAGGCTCAAGTAATCCTTTAGCCTCACCCTCCTGAGTAGTTGGGCATGCCACCATGCCCAACTAATTTTTGTATTTTTTGTAGAGATGAGAGTTTTGCCATGTTGCCCAGGCTGGTCTCAAACTCCTGGGCTCAAGCAATCCACCCACCTCAGCCTCTCAAATTGCTGGGATTACAGGTATGAGCCACTGTGCCCAGCCTAACGGGGATTTCTTGTGCCACGCAAAAGTATCTCTTCTTTTATGGCTTCAGGTGGTTTATCTTATTTATAAACATGTCCCCCAACTTCAGTATTAGAAAAAAATCTCCCATGTGGTCTTAAGGTGCCTTTATGGGTTTGTTTTACATTTAAATTGTTGTTCCATATATCCTTGATCCATAGTTTAGTGCAAGACATGAAATGAAGATACAGCTTTTTTTCACAGATGATGATCTTATTGTACCAAAAATTATTAATCTATCGTTTTCTTGATGAATTAAAATGCCAACTTTAGAAGGCTTTTTGTTTTATATATATTTTCCTGTTCCAGATGAGGACTAAGCTATTGCTCTTAATCCTGAATCTGATTTAAAGAACTTAAACATTCTCAGAGCACTTTGAGGTACTACAAATCAGCCTCCCCTTCCATTTACTCCTCAATATAACCTATTTTGTGAGCAAGCAAAGGTAAATCATAACACCCACAATAATTACCCTGGGGCACACCTTGAGTTTCCTAGAACCCAGTTTCATAATCACCCAGTATCTAACAAAAATTTCCAAGCATATTCTTAGAACACCAAAGAAAGCCCACTTCAAGAATGCTTTATCTCTTCCTAGAATTTGACTGGAATATCACAGCTGAGCGGAATCCAAAAGGCCTGGGCTTATATCTAAGCTCCACTACTTACTTACTGTAAGAGCTTGTCACTTTTCTTAATCTCTTGGAATCCTGTCCTTTTGTTTCAAAATTTAAGCAAAAAAGAAGTACATATCTCATAGGTTATTGCTATATATAAATTAAATAATCCATATTATGCAGCAAGGCTGGAAGATGATAAACACAATTAATAATGTGTTTTATCATTATTACCTTTGCAGAGGGTCTCACAACATGCAAGAATTCTTAGTTTTTTCTCTTCAAGATCCCCTTCTAATTGCCTGTTGCCAATGATACTGGAAGTTTCTTAAAGGTGGGAACCCCATCGATAGCCTTCATAAGACCCAGCACAGGACTGAGCTAATAATAATGATGATAACAACAATAAAAGTAATAATAACAATAACAGCTCCTAACAAGAGTCTATCCTTGCCCATAGGGCTCTTACCTCAGGGGGGTGCCCTTCAAACTCGGGGCGCCTGCAGTGGGAGTCACGATCATCCCACATCTCAAAAGACTCTGCACACTTGCAAGGATGACTCTCATTCATGCTCTTCTCTGTTTGACCCCGGACAATTCCACTGAAATAGACAAAGAAGGACGGTTTGGAACAAAGAATTATTCAAGGTTGGGGGCTGGGGCATGAGAATGAGGGTTTGAAGAACTTACCCAATGCCGTGAATCCCTAAGCCAAGGATATAGAAGATAAAAACGTGGTGAGTATACCAGAAGACCTCAAAATAACTCCTCCGGATGAACTCGGTAGCTGAAGCTACCATGAGAATCAAGGCTATTGTCATGATCACTCCGGTGAGACCAGCAATGCTGGTGAATGTCACATACTCCACTGTCTGTGAAAGGAAAAATGTCAGCCTGGCACAATGTCCACCTGTGCATTTCCTGCTTATGACCATATCTCAGGTGCTTTGCTAGTAACTCAACTCACCATGTTTGGGGACTGGATGGGATTTAGCCAAGAATCCCCCTTTTTCTCATCATGAGATAGGCTGGAGAGAATGGAGGCAAGGGAGCCATCCGTGGCCTGTCGGCTTCTGCTGTAGTAGTCAAAGTTAAACAGGTGTGCAATGATGTGAATAGCTAAATGGAAAGACGAAAAGAAATGTTAAGAGGCATCTCAGCAACATCATGGCAGGTGTGTCCCACTAGACTAGAAGAATCCTACATTATAGTGCTTAGCAGAATGCTGAGTGCAAAGAAGGTGCCCAATAAACCCTTGATTGCAGAACGATCCAAGATCTTTTTTATACTTACTCTGTTCCCAAAAGAATAGAACATAAGCTCCATGAAAATAGGCCAAGAACAGTGCCTAACAAATAGTGCCCAGTGCTCGATAAATATTTTTTGAATGTGCATATGGATGGATGAATGAAGCATGATTCTGAATGCCCTGGAGTCTGCAGATTCAGGGCTTGCCTGAGTTACCTGTATGTAGGCAGATCATATAGGCCACCAGCTTGTGGAAGGTGAGGTTGTGATCCAATTGCTTTCTCAGTGTGCGGCTGCAAAACTACAAATGTAAAGTGATCATGGTCAGATGTCTCCAGCCAGCTTTATTAAATTCATCAACCCATAACCAACATGTCTTGCACATAGCATGCCAATACTCACCCACCCTTACCCACCCCCTTAGCTACCGAAGGAGACCTCTGGCTTCCTTTCCTAGGAGCATGATGTTGGGCTGTCCTACTGAGGAGTCCAGGTCTCCTTCTCTAATGTGAATGTTGACTTAGGAGTGGTTGGGACTCACTGAGCAGGTGCCCCTCACGAAGGACAGCAGATTGCGACACACGGGAAGCAGGATCAACATGCTGTTAAAATTCAAGCAGAGAGCAGAGGCTCGGGCACAGGCCAATGTTGACTAGAGTAGAAGACAAAAAGAGACCATCAGCTGCTTCGTGTGAGCCGCTGACCCAGCCACTCATCCGAGGCCTGCAAATGAACAGGGCTCCAGCTGCCTCCCCTCTCAGTAGCTAGCACGATAAGGCCAGGCTCTGTTTGCAAAATGCATAAAATATGCTGAATTTAATATTGAATTGAGAAATTCCCATGACAGTAGTTAGGAAACGTTTGACTACATTTATTAACATGAAAGAGAATCGGATTTAATGATTACATGTTAGCAAATACATTCTACGGATGTAACATTTTGTTTAATACTCTTAATTATAATTTTATTATTTGTCACTTTTCAAAGAGTCTTAAGGATCTGGCTCTATTGCCCAGGCTGGAGTGCAGTGGCAAGATCTCGGCACACTGCATCCTCTGTCTCCTGGGCTCAAGCCATCGTCCCTCCTCAGCCTCCCGAGTAGCTGGGATTACAGGTGCGCACCACCATACCCAGTGAATTTTTGTATTCTTGGCAGAGACAGGGTTTTGCCACGTTGCCTAGGCTGGTCTAGAACTCCTGAGCTCAAGGGATCTACCTGACTTGGCCTCCCAAAGTGCTGGGATTAGAGGCGTGAGACACCATGCCTGGCCAAGGATTATATATATACCTTTATTTGCATTTTAAGCAAAGCTCATATTTAGAGGTATAATTATGGATGGCATTTTATTCTTTTCTGTATTTTCTAATATTGCAATTATAAGCACATAGTAGTTGTATAATAAAAACACTTAAAATTTTTAACCACTTCTATTTAAGATGTCTTTAAAAATTGAACAAAGTTAGTCAAGACTAGGAAACCTCTTAGAGTAAAATTTTTAAACAGGTAGATATTTGAGAAGGGACAGCTTCAGAGAAGCACAATTTTAAGCTGATTTCCTTGCGTGGCCAGGCAGCATAAATCAAGAACAACTTGCTCCAGCAGTAGAAGCTGCTAGCAAAGCAGACAAGGAGTCAATGCTTCAAAGAAGTATTTAGCCCAGAAAAACAGGCCTTACTAGGTATAAGCTGGACAGAATATTAACCCCATGGCAGCTTAACTCTATGGCAGCTAAATCTGACTTCTCAACTCCGTACAACTGGCCTCTGAGTCTACTACATGAACTTGGGACTGCTATGGAGTGTGACAATGTAGTAGCAGAGGAGCTGGCAGCAGCAGCCAGGCAATTTTTGTTGCACTTCAGCTGACTGGCCAGCCTTACACTGTGTGCCTGTCAAAGACTTTCTAAAAGGAGGGGTATAGGTTAAGGGTAGCATTTCTTAGCCTTTTTCTAATTATCTATGAAGCACAAAATTGATTTTTCTTATATCGTAAACCCAGGACAGCCTGACATTAACTTAAGCCAGGACAAGGTCTGTCTAGCATCCACAATGGCTAAGAATGTCAGGCAGTGTGGTGAACAAAAGCTGCCCTACTGTTTTCCATTTCTGGCTTTTCCACATGACCTATGTTTTATCCCTCTGCTGAGTCACGCTCCGACTGTTTTTAGTACAGACAGCCTGTTCTGTTTCTGAGTAAATTTCCTCTGCTCATCTCAGAGATCCTGCATATCCACATTAGTTCCCACTACTTGCTTATTTGAATCACAGAGATTTCTTAAAGCTAAAATTGGCAAGTGAATTGAAAATACAGGACTATAATTTCACAGTTCCATATTCTGTGGTGGCTATCTGTATAGGATGGATTCTTTTTAGAGAAAACATTTTTTCCTCATTGCAGCACATTTAAATATGCCAATGTATGTTCATTTCTCTAGATCCACACTCACTGGTGTTATAATTGAACTCCTGCTGTCATTAGTGCATCATTGACTATGGATTTTAACTTCTTCCTCTGCTGCTTATCTGCTCTACTTCACAGGGAATCAAATTGCTCTCTGTATTTTCCCAAGGTGAGGATGAATTTAAGAAATAACCTGTGGAGTGTTTAAATAAATTATGGTACATCAATGCAATGAATTGTTATTCTCTTTTTTCTTTTTATTTTTTGAGATGTTGTTTCACTCTTGTTGCCCAGGCTGGAGTGCAATGGTGATCTCGGCTCACTGCAACCTCCGCCTTGAGGGTTCAAGCGATTCTCCTGCCTCAGCCTCAGCTGGGATTACAGGCATGCGCCACCATGCCTAGCTAATTTTGTTTTTTTAGTAGAGATGGGGTTTCTCCATGTTGGTCAGACTGGTCTCGTCTCGAACTTCCCGACCTCAGGTTATCCACCTGCCTCGGCTTCCCAAAGTGCTGGGATTATAGGCGTGAGCCACTGCTCCAGGCCTGAATTGTTATTCTCTTAAAAAAATGAGAGCTCTATGCAGTGATGCAGTGGTGGTAAATTTTTTTTTTTTTTTTTTTTTTGAGATGGAGTTTCGCTCTTGTTGATTTTTGAGGGGAGGGGAAATTCCTGATTTCCAGCATTTGCCAATTTTGATGATGTAACTACTCCCACCATGGCAGATTTCAAGATACTAACTTGATGTCATTGAACACCACTGAATGCAGAGTTGGGAAGAGATGCACACAACTGGCATTGCAAGCCGATATGAGCTGGTTTCAGCACACCACTGGTTAGGTAGTCACAGGAAAAGATATCTGAGGCCGGGCACAGTGACTTACGCCTATAATCCCAACACTTTGGGAAACCAAAGCAGATGGATCACTTGAGGTCAGGCATTTGAGACCAGCCTGGCCAACATGGTGAAACCCTGTCTCTACTTAAAATACAAAAAATTAGCCAGGCCCTGTGGTACGCACCTGTAATCCCAGCTACGCGGGAGGCTGAGGCAGGAAAATCACTTGATCCCGGGAGGCGGAGGTTGCAGTGAGCTGAGATTGCAACACTGCAGTCCAAGCTGGGCAACAGAGTGAGACTCCATCTCAAAAAAAAAAAAAAAAAAAAAAAAAGAAGAAGAAGGAAAAGAAAGATATCTGAGATATGGTAACATAAACAATTTCCAGCCAGTATCTACAAAGTGACCCTTTTTTTGCTTAAAACAAAAAAGCTGTGTGTCCTATTATATGTGTTTACCAAAACTCATAGAACTGTACACCAAAAACCAGCAAATTTTACTGTATGAAAATTAAAAAGTGAATAAACAATCGTACCCACCTCAAAAACAAAACCTATTTGTGAACATATGTCAGTGTGTGTGTGTGTGTGTGTGTGTGTTTGTGTGTCTGGGGAGTGGGATGAGAGGGTGATTTTCACATTTTCACTTCTATTAGGTTGGTGCAAAAGTAATTGCGGTTTTTGCAAATAGTTTCAATAGCAAAAACTGCAATAACTTTTGCACCAACCTAATATATGGTTTGATCTCATTGAAAGCAGCATTTTTGATAATTTATTTATTTTTATTTTTATTTTTATTTTTGAGACAGAGTTTCACTCCTGTTACCCAGGCTGGAGTGCAATGGCACAATCTCGGCTCATCGCAACCTCCGCCTCCTGGGTTCACGCATTTCTCCTGCCTCAGCCTCCTGAGTAGCTGGGATGACAGGCACGCGCCACCATGCCCAGCTAATTTTTTGTATTTTTAGTAGAGACGGGGTTTCACCATGTTGACCAGGATGGTCTCGATCTCTCGACCTCGTGATCCACCCGCCTCGGCCTCCCAAAGTGCTGGGATTACAGGCTTGAGCCACCGCGCCCAGCCGATAATTTATTTTTTTTAAATAGGGCTTTAAAAAATAAAATGTCCTACAGAGTGGAATAATTGACATTGGAGACTACAAAAACGGGAGGGTGGGGAGGGAGTGAGGGTTGAAAAATTACCCATTGGGTACAATGTTCACTATTCGGGTGCTAGGTACACTAAAATCCCAGACCTCATCACTACACAATATATGCATGTAAGAAGCCTGCACTTGTGGCTGGGCACGGTGCTCATACCTGTAATACTCGGCCTTTGGGAGGCCAAGGTGGGAATATCACTTGAGCCCAGGAGTTTTGAGACCAGCCTAAGCAACACAGGGAGACCCTACCTCAACAACAAAAAAATTTTTTTTAACTAGCCAGGCTTGGTGGCACACACCTGTGGCCCCAGCTAATCAGGACACTGAGGTGGGAGGATGGCTTAAGCCTGGGAGAGTCGAGGCTGCAGTGAGCCATGATCCTGCCACTGCACACCAGCCTGGGTAACAGAGAAAGACGCTGTCTCAAAAGAAAGAGAATGAAAAGAAAGAAGGAAGGAAGGAAGGAGGGAAGAGAGGGAGGGAGGGAGGGAGAGAGGGGAGAAGGAAGAAGGGGGGAGGAAGGGAAGGGAGGAAGAAAGAAGAGAGAAAGAGACCTGCACGTATAAACAATTTTAAAATAATTTTATAAAAAATGAAATGTCCACGGGACATCAGCATAATTGATTTCTCTGCTGCTGACATTTGGGTCGTGAAGTAATCAAGTTGTTAATAACTAGTCACATTTGTTGCATCATTCTCTTAGTAAAAAGCTATTTTTAAAGCAAATTAATACCTCCTTTGGAGTTAAAGTTTCTAAAGAAGGATCGAGGATGAACATTTAAAATGGAAAACAGCAGGGTGAAATAAACCATGAACAGAACATTCAGATTAGTTGTGATCTCAACATGGATTCTTTGATTATGGAGAGAAAAAGGAAATTTGTTAAAAGGACAAGCTGTCTTTAAACATGTATATTGGGAGGATACTAAAAGCTACTGAAAAAAAAAAAAAAACCACTGTCAAGATGAAAGTGATTTAAAATCTCCTACCTGCTATTGCATGATAGACTAGAAGTAGCAGTCAAATACACTCTTCTAACCAGACAGTGTCCGGGTTCCTCACCCTGTGAGAGAACTGTCCTCAACTCCATGCTTCCTTCTAGTCACCTCCACACCCATGCGTCCTACCCACTCCCTCCTGCCCTCTTCTGTTTTTGATCTGCCACTCCCCCAAGTTTCTCCATTCTGTAACCTTGACCTGAGCCCTCCTTTCTTCAGGCTTTGAATTCTGTAGCACCCATGAAACTCTTCTAAGTATCCCTCCTATTTCATAGAGCGGTATGTTTCCATTACAGCAGTGGCTTTCATGTTGTCTTTGTTTTTTCTTTTTTGCTTTCCATCTTTTTAAAAAAGCAAACTCGGCTGGGCACTGTGGCTCACGCCTGTAATCCTAACACTTTGGGAGGCCGAGGTGGGTGGATCACCTGAGGTCAGGAGTTCAAGACCAGCCTGGCCATCATGATGAAACCCCTCCTTTATATTTAAAAAAAAAAAAAAAAGCAAACTCTTCTTAAAAGTGTGAGCAGGTGCTCATAGATAGATACAGGCTGCTTTGGTTGAAACAGGGGCAGGAGCAAAAGCACTACCCAGTTAACCTTCTTCTCATGCCTTGTAGGAACACCTGAGTTTCTGGAAACCAGTTTGAAAACCACTGCCTAATAGTTTTCTTTATTGAACGTTTCCTTTATTAGGTCTTGGGAGTGTGCCTTAAATGGGGTTATCAGATTTACTAAATAAAAAATACAGGATGCTTATATATTACAATATAATAATGGAAATTTTAAAAAATACAGGATGCTAAGCTAAATTTGAACTTCAGATTTTTTTAAATCAATATTTTAGTATACCTGTGTTCCATGCAATATTTGGAACATACTTATATCAAAAAATAATTTGCCATTTATCAGAAACTCAAAGTCAGTTGGGCATTCTGTACTTTTTCTGGCAACCTTAGCCCTGGAAGATATCAGGGCACTGGGTCACAAAGAAGCTGAAATCGGAGTTAAGAAAAAAATAGAGATTTTATCCATACAATCGTGATACTCACCCCAAGGATTTTTCTTGTATAGTAGTACTTGTCGGCCTTCTCATATTTCAGGAAAGCATCCACAAACAGGAAAACATTCAGCCCCAACCAAACAGCCTAGAGGAAGAATAAAACATGCAAAGAATACAGTGAAATTTGGGTATGGGAAGGAGTAAATACGGGATAGGGATAGGAATAGCAGGGATAGGAATAGTGTCGCCATTTTGGCTATTTTGTGTTTACCTGTTTTCATTTTAAATGAGTACAATCCTGCCAGAATCTAACTGACTTTCAGAGTGAGTTAGCACTTTGAGACATGCATTAGACCAGAGCAGAATCAGCAAACTGAGGCCCGTGGCCCATTACCTGTTTTGCAACAGCCTGCAAGTTCAGAATGGTTTTTATATTTTATATGTTCACATTTTCTAATGGTAGAGAAAATCAAAAGAAGAAGAATATTTTGTGGCATGTGAAAGTTGTATGAAATTCAAATTTCAGTGACCATAAATAAAGTGGTATTGGAACTTAGCCACTCCTACTCATTTCTGTATTGTTTATGGCTGTTTTTGTGATACAATGAAGGAGTAGAGTAGTTGGGACAGAGACCATATGGCTTGCAAAGCCTAAAATATGTACTATCTAGCTTTTTACAGAAACATTTGCCAATTCGTGGACTAGACCATTGAAACTGTTGCACCTAAAAGATAGCAAGAAGTGAATAAATGGATATCTGAAGAAACAAAGAACAAATTTAGCATCTATAACAATACTCATCTGAAAAGAACTAAACCATTCCAGATGGGCCTGCCTTTTTAATTACACCCTGACACACATTTTCCTGTTTTCAGATTGTGAATATTTTTTTCAGATTAATCTATTGCTCCTTTGGAGTCATTTGAGCTCTTAAGACTGCTTTTGCCTTTCCCAAGTTCTATGTCTGTATTGGCTAAAGGTGAAATTTGGAACTCACTGCCCATTAATGGCTTTGGGGACCAACCAACTGGTCTCTAGCCCAAGTTTGGGGATGCTACTCTGTAATTCGACAGGTCTCCAGGGTACTGGGATGCCTCTAGTATATATCCCTCGACCCATTATGAGTCAGAACCATCTCAGCACAAGAGGCAAAGGGCCTTTAGTCCAGGGCATGGCCTATTCACATTCCTTAGATTTAGACCACTCACACACCTTTAGTACTATAGCATAGTAATTTAAAGTGTGATATTGGAGTCAAGGTGTAGCATTACCAGTTAACAGCTCTGTAATCTTAGACAGACATGTGATTTAACTTTTCTAAACCTCAATTTCTTCACCTGTAAAATGAGGATAATAACAGGACCTACTTTATGGTAATGCTATGAGGCTTACGTCAGATAATGCGTGTAAAGTGATTAATGCAATGCTTGGTGCTTAGTAGGAGATCAATAAATGCTAGCTACAGAGTTGTGTCACTACTGAACCGGCTTTACCAATCAATTTCTTCCTGCCTCCTTTGCTTGAATACCCTTTTCCAGAGCTGAGTGTCTGCCAGAGAAATGTCTTTGAAAGAAAAGAAAGTCAACAGCCACAGATACCTCAAGAATTTGGAAGACAGAAGAGAGAAACTTCTTTAGAGGGAGCAGAAATATTTCTGGATCACAAAGAGACACGGGCAAATAACTCTGTCATTTCCTCCACTGTGAACTAAAAAGAAGGTAAACTACAAGACGTGGGAAGAAGGAGGAATAAGACTATTTTTAAGTAATTTGTTTTTTATTAAAAAAGTCAGTGCATGGGAGTATATGTCAGAGATAATGAGAAGTCTAAGCTTGCCAGCTGGATTGGTAGGGGATGAAAATTCAAACCTAGAGAATTAAATGTGAGTCACCATCATGGCTGGTAAACTCTCCCAGCAAAAAATAAGACAGGGAAAAAATGCAGGCAAACATAAATTTTAGAGCTAGAAACACCTTATATTTGTATCTAATCTAGTCACTGTATTAATCTCCTACTCCCCTCCCCTGCCCAGTCCCCCCAACGCCCCGCCCCCACACACATAAGACCTGAAGTCCAGAGAGTATAATTTTATCAAGATCACCCAGTTAGTAGCAGAATTCAAGGTACTTGTCAGGTTCCCCTTCTCCTAAACTAGTGTTATTTCCATTATAGTGCAAAAGGAACTCAATATAAAGCATTTTGAGCATTTAAAATATGTCATGGGATAACCCGACAAAATAAGCATCTTTGTTCAATATAAAACAAACACTCCTCCAGGGAAACTCCACATATTTTTTCCTGGAGCACCTGGCGGGGGCGTGGAGAGGGGTGCGCGTCAGGGAACCAGGAGAGAAAAGAAGCATCACATCTTCTCTTTTCTCCTGTTTTGTGGCTCAGAAATGGAAGAAGGATAGTGGAGAGAAGTGTTAAAGTGTTAGGAGAAAGAGATTGTACATACATAGGGTGGTGAAGGGATTCTGGTCTGAATGTCATGGAGGAGCCGGGTTTGAGTGACGCTTCTTCAATCAATTCATTGTGTGACATCTAGGTCTTATTTTCCTTTGTACAATCAATAAGTTGGTTTATATCTGCACTATGCAATGCCACAGCCACTACCCACATGTGGCTTCTGAGCACTTGAAATGTGGCTAGTCCTGAGATGTGTTGTGCGTATAAATACACATCAGATTTCAAAGACTCAGTAAAAAATAAAAATATATAAATTATCTTATTAATATTTTCAATATTGCATACTGAAAAGATTTGTTGATACGTTGGGTTAAATGAATTATATTGCTAAACATTAACTTCACCTGTTTCTTTTTACCTTTTCAGTGGAGGTAGTAGAAAATTCAAGAATTCCTGAAATACCACAGGGGGAAAAGAAAATTCAGGAATTACATTATTATGTGGTTTGCTATATTTCTAGTGCGTAGTGCTGGGCCATATGATCTCTAAGATCACTTTCATCTCAAACATTCGGTGATTTTATGAAATCTTGATGGGGGCAGTATAGGAAAGATAGAGAAATCAGCACTCACGGTAGTAGTTAGAAGTAAGATGGAAGAGAAAAGGAGATGACAGAAAATGAAAACAGATTGAAATTCCAAATACTGGTGATTTGACAATATGAACAATTGCATATTATTTGTCTCTGTCTTCTCATCTGACCTAGAGTTGCATTTTTAAACTAACTGGTCTTGATGAACCCAGTAATTGGCATGGAATCTTTCCCTTTCAAATAACTTTACAAATATTAACAAACATGATATCTCCTTAATCCTTCCTAATTAGTAGGAAGTCAAAAATCACTTACCAGAAACAAAACTGAAAACCAGTGGTTAACCACCCAGTTTCCCATTGTCAAGAGGTGGTTTGTAGCCCCTCTAGGCAGCAGGGAAGATTCAGCAATCCGGATTCTGGAGAGGTCCTTCAGGAATGGGACGTTTGTCCAGCTTAGGGGCTGTGAGTCTTTAAGATGTGAAAAATGTACACCTACCCCAAGAGCTCCCGGGAATGAATAAGTTTATTCTGCTTTCCTTCTCTGGACGGAACTGTGCTACCAGCTTAGATAGACCAGCCCTACTTATAAGAGCCACTGGGGTTTTCCCTGTGGGGTTTTTACCCCTTCAGGAAATTGCAATCTCCTTGGGTGAAAATATTCTCTCTCATCATCTTATCAACATGACCTAGTGTGAAGCACTGCCTTCCTAGATAAGAGATTTGCTGAAGTTTCTCATAAAAAAAAAAGATAATTAGTCTGGGCCTATAAACAGATTACTGCAGGAGAAGTAGGGAGGGAAGGGAGTGTGGTAAGGAAGCTGTTTCAAGATGGACTTTCCAAAGTGTTGCTACGTCTGTCAGCTGCCATTTGGACCTCAGTCTGAAGTATACCAGTTCCCCTGGAGGATGATCCATGGTTGACATATATGATGATGGCTTTGGGGAGAGCTTGACTGGCTGGAAGGACAAGTAAAAAGAAGGGCCAAATAGAATAAGAGAAAATTTAACAAGTATAAATGTACACTTTGCTTCAAAATAAACAGAGGCAGAAGAATGGAGACGATTGTCTTCTAGTATGAATCGTCAAAAGAATGAAATCGTCAGCCGGGCGCGGTGGCTCAAGCCTGTAATCCCAGCACTTTGGGAGGCCGAGGCGGGTGGATCACGAGGTTAAGAGATCGAGACCATCCCGGTCAACTTGGTGAAACCCCGTCTCTACTAAAAATACAAAAAATTAGCTGGGCGTGGTGGCGCGTGCCTGTAATCCCAGCTACTCAGGAGGCTGAGGCAGGAGAATTGCTTGAACCCAGGAGGCGGAGGTTGCGGTGAGCCGAGATCGCGCCATTGCACTCCAGCCTGGGCAACAAGAGCGAAACTCCGTCTCAAAAACAAACAAACAACAAAAAAAATGAAATCGTCAAAAGAATGGAGACGACTGTCTTCTAGTATGAATTGTCAAAAGAATGAAATCATCAAAAGAATGGACACGATTGTCTTCTAGTATGATAGATTAACCAGAGTTGTATGTTCAGCTCTGGGCACTAATTTTTTTTTTCCTTTTCTAAAATGGTGAAATATACACGGAAGAGTATGTAAAACATATATATGTAACTTAAAGAATAATTTTGTCATTGTACTCTAGGTTCTGGGGTACATGTGCTGATCATGCAGGATTGTTGGATAGGTACATACTTGGCCAGGTGGTTTTCTTCCTCCATCTTCGTCGTCCCCACGTCACTTGCAACTGGCATTTCTCCCCGTTATTGCTCCCAGCCTCCCCTCCCCCTGCTGTCCCTTCCTTAGCCCCCACCACCGACCCCAGTGTGTAATGCTCCCTTCCCTGTATTCATGTGTTCTCATTGTTCAACACCCGCCTATGAGTGAGAACATGCCGTGTTTGGTTTTCTGTTCTTGTGTCAGTTTGCTGAGAATGATAGCTTCCAGATTCATCCATGTCCCTACAAAGGACACGAACTCGTCATTTTTTATGGCTGCATAGTATTCCATATGGAAAACAAATTGCTCCAGCATCACTTTTGAAAAGTACTTTTTTTTTGAGACAGGGTCTCATTCTGTCACCCAGGCTGGAGTACAGTGGTATGATCTTCATTCACTGCAACCTTCATCTCCCGGGTTCAAGCGATTCTCACGCCTTAGCCACCTGAGTAGGTGGGACTACAGCCATGCGCCATCGTGCCTGGCTAACTTTTGTATTTTTAGTAGAGATGGCTTTTCACCATGTTGGCCAGGCTGGTCTTCAACTCCTGGCCTCATGTGATCTGCCCACATAGGCCTCCCAAAGTGCTGGGATTACAGGAATGAGCCACTGGGCCCAGCCATTTTTGAAAACTACTTTCAAAAATATACTTGCTTTGATGATCTAAAATGTCAGTTCTATTATATATGAAATGTCTATATACACATCATTTTGTTCTGGAGCTCTCCATTCAGTTATTCCATGCTACTGCCCTAATGACTAAGTCTTGACATCTGATAAGACAACTTTTGCCACCTTGTTCTTCTCTGGCTATTCTTGGCTTTTTGTTTGTTTGGTTGTTTGGGGGTGGTTCTGCATTTTGTTTTTATTCTTGGCCTTTTTCATTTTCATGTAAATTTTATAATAAAATTCTTGCATCTCCTTTGTCATATTTACTTCTATGAACTTTATATGTTTTCATGAGTTGTAAATTATATATTTTTATTTTTATTTTTAATGATGGCTGTTAAAGATACAATTTGTTGTTGTTGTTGTTGTTGTTGTTGTTGTTGTTGTTTTTGAGACGGAGTTTCACTCTTGTTACCCAGGCTGGAGTGCAATCGCACGATCTCGGCTCATCGCAACCTCCGCCTCCTGGGTTCAGGCAATTCTCCTGCCTCAGCCTCCTGAGTAGCTGGGATTACAGGCACACGCCACCATGCCCAGCTAATTTTTTTGTATTTTTAGTAGAGACGGGGTTTCACCATGTTGACCAGGATGGTCTCGATCTCTTGACCTTGTGATCCACCCACCTCGGCCTCCCAAATTGCTGGGATTACAGGCTTGAGCCACTGCGCCCGGCCTACAATTTGTTTTTACTTACTGATTTTTATGTCCAGCAACATTGCTAAACTCACTTATTAATTGTAATAATATTTCTGTATTTTGTCTTAGATTATCTATGAACATGGTCATATTTTTTGCTCTAAACACAGCTTTGTTTCTATTTATTTATTTATTTTGAGACGGAGTTTCACTGTTGCTGCCTAGGCTGGAGTGCAATGGTGTGATCTTGGCTTACTGCAACCTCTGCCTCCCAGGTTCAAGTGATTTTCCTGCCTCGGACTCCTGAGCAGCTGGGACTACAGGCACCTGCCCATGCCCGGCTAATTTTTGTATTTTTAGTGGAGATGGGGTTTCACCTTCTTGGCCAGGGTGGTCTTGAACTCCTGAACTCAAGTGATCCACCCGCCTCGGCCTCACAAACTGCTGTGATTACAGGCATGAGCCACTGCACCCTGCCTTCTTTTTTCTAATTCTTATAACTTTTATTTCTTTTTCTTCACTTACTGAACTCACTAGAACTTCTAGTACAATGTTGAACAAAGGTAGTAATAGGGATCCCTTTGCATAATTCCCAATCTCAAAGGGATTCTTCCATTTCACCCTTAAATAAAATGTTTTGTGTAGGTTTTGTGGATATCCTGCTACATATTTCTATTTTACTTTAGGCACAAAAGCAAATATTTATTAAAAATAGAAAAGAAATCATAGCACATTTTTAACGGATTTATTGAGGTATAATTTATAGGCTATAAAATGTTCCCATTATAAGAGTATAGTTCAATGCACAGCACATTTTATATTTATTGTTAAAAGCTGAAAAATTTCTTCAACATCACAAAACCTATAAAAATAACATTTTAATTAGGTGCCGAACACACCTGCAATTTAGTATCACAATGCCAAGTGAAATTGGCACAGTGGGGAGTTTTCCTGGAAACCATTTCTACACTAAGGCAGCTATCCATCAGTTAACTAGATACAGAAGTGTCAGTGAACCACATAATGTATTTCCTCCTAAATTCAAACTAACTATACAACCAACACAGCAACCTCTTAGCTGTATTCCAGAAGTGCTCATGGCCACTCCAGCATCACTTGACCTGAGGGGAAGTGTGACAGAGGGAAGTTGGAGTGGTAAGAAACACTCTAGAAAATATCTTACACTTGTAAATTTTACAAAAACACTTGCCCGTGACCAAGACCACATCTTAAAAGAAAAACTAAAGCCTTTCCATGGAAGGGTGACCAGGACAATATAATGATTTGAAAGCATCCTATTTCAGGAGCATTTAAAGCAGGCGTCTCCAAACTACTACGGCCCGCGGGCCGCATGCACCCCCCCACCCCCGAGGCCATTTATCCGGCCCCCCACCGCACTTCGGGAAGGGGCACCTCTTTCATTGGTAGTCAGTAAGAGGAGCACAGTATGTGGCGGCCCTCCAGCGGTCTGAGGGACAGTGAACTGGCCCCCTGTGTAAAAAGTTTGGGGACGCCTGATTTAACGAATGTAGGGAATTGGGCCTGGAAAGAGGTTTATCAGGGACATGAGTTTATGTACATTTTTTAAAAGAAAATTTAGATTATTTTGTATGTGACCCAAGGAGTCAACCAAGGAATGGAGGCTCTAAAGTAACGCTCTTTTGGTCAGGCATGGTGGCTCACACCTGTAATCCGACCACTTTGGGAAGCCAAGGTGGGCAGATTGCCTGAGGTCAGGAGTTTGAAAGCAGCCTGGCCAACATGGCAAGACCCCATCTCTACTAAAAATACAAAAATTAGCTGGGCATGGTGGTGCACGCCTCTAGTCCCAGCTACTCAGAAGGCTGAGACACTTGAATCTCTTCAACCCAGAAGGCAGGGGTTGTGATGAGCCAAGGTTGCGCCATTGCAATCCAGCCTGGGTGACAGAACAAGACACTGTATCAAAAAATAAAAATAAAATAACACATTTTTGTCCAATATAAAGCAGAATTTTCCAACACAGGTGTTCAGAGAAGTAAAGAGGTAATGAGTTTCCTATTATTTGAGACTCTCAAAGAAAAAGGGACAACACCTTGTCAGCACGTGGATGGTTAACTAAATGTCCCTTAAGTATACTCCAACATTGGGCCGGGCGCGGTGGCTCAAGCCTGTAATCCCAGCACTTTGGGAGGCCGAGGCGGGTGGATCATGAGGTCAAGAGATCGAGACCATCCTGGTCAACATGGTGAAGCCCCGTCTCTACCAAAAATACAAAAATTAGCTGGGCGTGGTGGCACGTGCCGGTAATCCCAGCTACTCGGGAGGCTGAGGCAGGAGAATTGCTTGAACCCAGGAGGCGGAGGTTGCGGTGAGCCGAGATCGCGCCATTGCACTCCAGCCTGGGTAACAAGAGCGAAACTCCGTCTCAAAAAAAAAAAAAAAAAGTATACTCCGACATTGAGATCCTGTGATTCATAAAAGAATGATCTATAATCTGGATGACAATTTATATATTACCTAAAGAATTATATATGCCATGCTGATTGGAATCTTGTGTCTGTGAGGTAAGGCCCCCATTCCCAATATCAGAGTACTAGGAAGTCCGTTGATAAGTTGGTGATCACAGAATCTGAGCTAAGATAGCCAGATGATACTAATGGAATGTTACTGTTAAGCTGCAGCAGCAAGCTCAGTAGGCCTATTTCTTTCTTTCTTTTTTTTTTTTTTTTTTTTTTGAGACGGAGTTTCGCTCCTGTTACCCAGGCTGGAGTGCAATGACGCGATCTCGGCTCACCGCAACCTCCGCCTCCTGGGTTCAGGCAATTCTCCTGCCTCAGCCTCCTGAGTAGCTGGGATTACAGGCACGCACCACCATGCCCAGATAATTTTTTGTATTTTTAGTAGAGACGGGGTTTCACCATGTTGACCAGGATGGTCTCGATCTCTCGACCTCGTGATCCACCCGCCTCGGCCTCCCAAAGTGCTGGGATGACAGGCTTGAGCCACCTCGCCCGGCCCCTTTCTTTTTTTTTTTTAATTGCATTTTAGGTTTTGGGGTACATGGGAAAAACTAGGCCTTTTTCAAAATAAGATTACACCAGCAAATTCAACTAACATATTCATGCCCCAAATCTGAAACCTCCCTCTCCTGGGCAATGCTGGATACACTAAAAACTTCTCACCATCAAGACATTTATTCACCAACAAACATGAAAAAAAACTCGTCATCACTGGTCATTAGAGAAACGCAAATCAAAACCACAATGAGATACCATCTCACGCCAGTTACAGTGGCGATCATTAAAAAGTCTGGAAACAACAGATGCTGGCGAGGATGTGAAGAAATAGGAATGCTTTTATACTGTTGGTGGAAGCGTAAATTAGTTCAACCATTGTGGAAGACAGTGTGGCAATTCCTCAAGGATCTAGAACCAGAAATACCATTTGACCCAGCAATTCAGCATCCCATTACCGGGTATATACCCAAAGGATTATAATCATTCTGCTATAAAGACACATACACACATATGTTTATTGCAGCACTATGTACAATAGCAAAGACTTGGAGTGATAGACCAGATAAAGAAATGTGGCACATATATACTATAGAATACTATGCAGCCATAAAAAGAATTGAGTTCATGTCCTTTGCAGGGACATGGATGAAGCCAAAAACCATCATTCTCAGCAAACTAACCCAGGAACAGAAAACCAAACACCACATGTTCTCACTCATAAGTAGGAGTTGAACAATGAGAACACATGGACACAGGGAGAGGGGCCATCAAACCCCCCCCCCCCTCCACCGCCGGGGCCTGTCAGGGGGTGGAGGGCAAGGGGAGGGAGAGCATTAGGACAAACACCTAATGCATGCAGGGCGTAAAACTTAGATGATGCAGCAAACCACCATGGCACATGTATACCTATGTAACAAACCTACACATTCGGCACAAGTATCCCAGAACTTACAGTAAAACAAACATAAGTTAAAATAAATAAATAAAACTTCTCACCATCAACCTTCCTTTTTTGTAAATTCTCCAAGAACTGCTTTCTTTCTGTTGGCTCTAGACATTATAATAGACCCCTCCACCCTGTATTGTTTCCCTTATCTTAATGTTTGCATTTCCCAGGTTTATGGGCGCGTTGATTAAATTTGAGGTTGCTTCCTGGAGATCTCTAGGGAGTAGTTAAATGTCATCAGTAACTTATTCACAGTCTCACCATAGACTGCAGCTTTTGGAAAGATTTCCTGTAGACGGTTGATTCCACCCATGGTAGGCGGATTCTTGCAAATTGTAAACACAGAGCCCTTCCCTAACTTGCATGTTCTGTCTCCTTCTTGATCACTTGTGTCTGTCCTCATTTGTCCCAAATTTGCCTTTATAGTTACAACTTTTATACTCCTCTTCCAGGAATTAATATGTAACAGAGAGTGTTGAATTACTTAACAGTTTAAACATGTGCTTAGGACATCAGAAAAAAGGGTTTTAAGAATTCTTTTAAGAATTTATAAAAGAATTTGAAGGTTGGTATTTCAAAAACAAACATTTAAGTAGTTATGGGAGAAAATGGTAGTGTGTTTTACTTATTTTATTGTTTATAATTACTTTTAATTTGAATCCATAGGAGTTGGTGTTGAGAGGACATTCGTTTCTTTTTAGATCTTAGAGCCTTTAGATTAAAACCTGGTCTTGATTACAGTGTCCAAAAGTGAAACATCCCATAATAATAAGATGGACTGATACATGTGGAATTATTTGAAATCAATTATTTTTACTCTGTTGGAGCAGAACCAGACCTCACTGAAGTAGCACCTCTTAAAGCAACATGGACCTCCAGCTCCCCACTCACTATTAATGTTGCCTTGGAAAAGTCTAACTTTGCTCAGCCTCAGTTTCTTCACCTGTAACTTAGCATACTGGTCCCTCTTGGAGAAAGTGTCCAAATTGTAGCCTATATTGTCAGGTAGAAGGCAAAGTGGTGGTACGGAAGAGATGGTAGAGCAGTGTGGTGTCATGGTTAGAAACAGATTCCAGAGCCAGTCAACCTAGGTTTGAAGCCTGCCTCATTATCCATAAAATGGGTTGTTGGAAGAATTAAATGGGTTAAAGAATGGAAAGCAATGAGAACACTGCCTGACGTATAAAAAAACTCCACAGTTGCTTGCTACAATGATGATGATGATGATGAGCCCTAAGAAAATATGAGCAGAGGACGTAAACCCAGTGGTACTTTCTTTCGCCATTGAAAAGGGAAGCAGAAACTATAAATCAGAGACCATTATTATATAAACTGTAAGATTATTAAACTTTTGTTACTGCCTTATGTCTGTTGGGTTTACCCTGTTTTCTCCAGGGTTTAGCAAACTTTAAATGAGCCTTTGTGCTTGGCTTCAGTAGTAGCAAGAAACTTAGAAGGTGCAGAGTTTGTGTCTCATTCTGCAGCTAGGCTTGGGGAGATAATTACCAAAAGGAGAAGACAGCCAGGTTTCCTCACGGCCATAAGGAAGAAAGAACACTGGGGTGGCCCTAGGCCTGGAAAGGGGCCTGGGGACTCAGTGATGGAAAGGTTTATGTAGTTTCATGTTCTCGCTACTTCCCTCACAGCGCTGCGGTGTGAATCAAATGAGCTGGTACGTTTAACCATGATTTATAGGCTGATAAGTGTCATGGAGACATCAATAGAATAGCAGTGAGTACTTTCATGTTACATCTGCTACTTTGGAAATCTGCCATCGAAAGTGTATATGTGAGACTTATTCAGCTCAGAAACAATATGCAAGTCTTGCCTTTTCTTTAGGACTGATTAAGTTCTGCTTCTTCCAGGAAGCCTTCTCTGACCACGTCAGTCATCACACCACACTGTCTTCTAAATTTTTGTAGCCATGACATAGCATGAGTTCCTCATCTTCTTACCTCTCTCATAGCCTGTGAAACCTACCATTGTTATTATTTACCCTTTTCTGAACAAGTCCTATCTTGTCCAGATTGTCCCTTAAGACAAAGCACAAAGCTCTCTATGCACAGTAGATGTTCTAGAAACATTTTTCATGTGGTGGTGTGGAAGGCAGAATAGTAGCCCCCTAAAGATGTCCACATCCTAAGCCCTGGAACCTGTGAATACGTTACTTTGCATGGCAAAGGGGAATGAAGGTGGAATTAAGATTTCTAATCAGCTGAGTCGAAAGTACGGAGATTACTGTGGATTATATCTATCGGTGGCCTAATGTAATCACAGGGATCCTTAAAAACGGAAGAGGGACACAGAAGTCAGTGATGAGATGTGAGAACATGACCCAGTATTACTGACTTCGAAGATAGAAAAAGGAAGCCAGGAGCCAAGGAATGTGGGCTGGAACGTCTCCCCGCCAGAGCCTCCAGAAAGAAATGCAGCCCTGTCAGCAGCTTGATTTTAACCCAGTGAGACCCGATGCAGAATTGTGACATCCAGAACCATAAGATAATAAAAAATATGTGTTGCTTTAAGCCACCAAGTTTATAGTAATTTGTCGTAGCAGCAATAGGAAAGTAATACAGATGGTTAAAGACTTTCCTGCAACCATATTTACTGGCTCTGAACTGACTACTCTGCCTGGGAAAGAAGATAGGCTGGGCACAGTGGCTCACACCTATAATCCCAGCATTTGGGGAGGCCAAGGTGGGCGGGTCACTTGAGCTCAGGAGTTCGAGACCAGCCTGGCCATCATGGTGAAACTCCATCTCTACTAAAAATACAAAAAATTAGCCAGGTACAGTGGAAGGCACCTGTAATCCCAGCTACCTGGGAGGCTGAGGCAGGAGAATTGCTTGAGCCCTGGAGGCAGAGGTTGCAGTGAGCCGAGATCACTCCACTGCCTTCCAGCCTGTGACGCAAAGTAAGACTCTGTCTCAAAAAAAAAAAAAAAAGATAAAGTCACAAGTTTTCAAAGCTAAAGGTTGACAATGTACAGTCCCTCCATCAACATAATGTGCTGTGGATAAATGAGTTAGAACTATTTTGGTTGCAAGCGAAGCAGTGATTGGCCTTTAAAATAAGGAAACGCAACTGCTTTAAAAAAACAAAAACCAACAAACCCTTTTCCTTTGTTGTATTAGGAGCACTTAACACATTCTTAGGGGAAGGGACCTCTCCCAGAATAGAATGCAAGTATTTGCCCTCCCTTCCAGAGAATACAAGGTAAGACAATCTGAATTTTGAAGACTGAGCCCTCTTTGCAGTTAAGAAAAAGATTTTCATGTTTGACTTTGGACGCTGCTTTGAAGCTCTTCACCGTGAGTCATCAAGGTCTCTCAGAAAAAAAAAAAAGAAAAAAGAAAAAAAGAAACGAAAAAGATAAATTGGTTGTTTCTCTTGCTTTGTAATTTCAACTCCTTTGGACGTAACTATGAAATAACTGGTCATCTGACAGTTTCATGGGTCCATTTCTAAAATAAGATAATGTTGCTTTCAATGAGACCAGAGCAGATGAGAGGCAGAGCAAAGAGTGTAAGCAGGTCAGGCTGGCAGTTACCCAGGTTGTATATATATATATTTTTTCTGAGAAGTTAGAAATTCTATGCTTCCTCTCCAACCCACTAAAAAATAGCCTTTTCATTAGTGTGTTATAAGGCAGAAAAATTTTACCATTTGGAATTTTTCCTTTGAGAAAAGCCTTGTTCCTGAAAGCCATAGTTAAATTCCATTGTTACCTTGTGGTGGTGGAGGGATGAGCAGGCTTGATCTTCTGTCCAATGGAGAAAGAGAAATAACGCATTAACCCATGACCACCTGTTACTCATTATTTTTTTTTATTTTTTTTTTTTGAGACAGAGTTTCACTCTTGTTACCCAGGCTGGAGTGCAATGGCTCAATCTCGGCTCACCGCAACCTCCGCCTCCTGGGTTCAGGCAATTCTCCTGCCTCAGCCTCCTGAGTAGCTGGGATTACAGGCACGTGCCACCATGCCCAGCTAATTTTTTGTATTTTTAGTAGAGACGGGGTTTCACCATGTTGACCAGAATGGTCTTGATCTCTTGACCTCGTGATCCACCCGCCTCGGCCTCCCAAAGTGCTGGGATTACAGGCTTGAGCCACCGAACCCTGCCACTCATTATATTTTCACAGAGGGTAGGGTCCAGAGAGAAATGAACTTAAGAGAGGTAAACTTGAATGTGAGGTAAAATCAGAAAGATTTGTAACAGGGGCAGCTGATAAGAATCGATAGTTAGAATGGGCTACTGCAGCAGTGGACATTGAAAAACAGGGCATTTGGAGGTGGGCTGAGGCCAAAGTGGGTGCCTAAATGGGGAAGCTTGAAGACCCATTGGAACCATCCAACAACGCCCTCCCCTGACTTACTGAATCAGAATTTTCACTTTAGTAGGACCACCAGGTGGATTCATACCCATATTAAATTTGAGATGCATGGCACTAAGGCAGGCGTCCCCAAACTTTTTACGCAGGGGGCCAGTTCACTGTCCCTCAGACCGTTGGAGGGCCACCACATACTGTGCTCCTCTCACTGACCACCAATGAAAGAGGTGCCCCTTCCTGAAGTGCAGCGGGGGACCAGATAAATGGCCTCAGGGGGGGCGCATGCGGCCCGCGGGCGTAGTTTGGGGACGCCTGCCCTAAGGTGTCTGCAACCCACAAGGGCTTAAAAACTACTGACTTAAGAAGGTTTCGAAAAAGATTAAATAGGCCGGGCGCGGTGGCTCAAGCCTGTAATCCCAGCACTTTGGGAGGCCGAGGCGGGTGGATCACGAGGTCAAGAGATCGAGGCCATCCTGGTCAACAAGGTGAAACCCCGTCTCTACTAAAAAGACAAAAAATTAGCTGGGCATGGTGGCGCGTGCCTGTAATCCCAGCTACTCAGGAGGCTGAGGCAGGAGAATTGCCTGAACCCAGGAGGCGGAGGTTGCGGTGAGCCGAGATCGCGCCATTGCACTCCAGCCTGGGTAACAAGAGTGAAACTCCGTCTCAAAAAAAAAAAAAAAAGTTGGAACCTGATCTCAGAAAATTGTTCAATTAAATTCTTTCCTCTGTTCATTTAAAGATTTGTCTTTTAAGAAAGTTTTTAAATGTGTTTTTAAAATCAACTTTC